CTACAACTAAGGATACAAAAAAGAAACCACACCAAGACTGGTAAGAGGGGTGAGATGCAAAATGGGCTGGTCCCACACCCATGTTTGGTAGATAAAAATTGAGAGGGATATCTAGGCTGTAGAGGTTCCCCTTGAGGAGTGAGGGGTCCCAGCCCCTCACCAGGCCACCCAGCCCAGGGTTCCAGTGTCAGGAAGAAACGACCCCATAACATCTGGCTGTAAAAACCAGCAAGGATTGAGGCTGAGGGAGACAGAGGGCAGTTGGAGTCCTAGGCGTTCCTCTTCAATATATATATATTAGAGGCCTGGTGCATGGATTGGGGTCCCTCGGCCTGGCCTGCGCCCTCTCGCAATCCAGGACCCCTCAGGGGATGTTGGACTGCTGGTTTCAGCCCAATCTCCGTAGGCCAGGCTGAGGGACCTCACCAGTGCACAAATCCATGCACCGGGCCTCTAGTATGCATATAAGATCTTCGGTTAATCTCTTCCCACCCTCTCCCCACCCCCTTCCCTCTGAGATTTATCAGTCTGTTTCATGTTTCCATGCCTGTGCATTGAGCGTCTGCCCCCTGATGGTCATCATAGCTACCGGTCGAACAAATGGTCAAATGGTCACTTAGGCTTTTATATATATAGGTTATTGCTTTCAGGGAGGAAAGAAGAGAGATAAAAAAAAAAAGCAATGATGAGAATCATTGATCACCTGCCTCCTGCACACCCCCCACTGGGGATTGAGCCCACAACCAGGGCATGTGCCCTGACAGGAAATTCAAACTGTGACCTATTAGTTCATAGGTCCATGCTCAACCACTGAGCCATGCCAGCAAGGCCTAGCTATTCCTCTTGAAGGGCCTGCACATGAACTTACTCGGACTCACTCCCTCTGAGCTAACCGGGAATCAAACCGGCAACCTTTTGGTGCATGACAGGACACTCAACCAACTGACCCACACCAGCCAGGGTTCCTAAGCACTTCTTCAAATCACAGTACTGCTTCTAGTAAACTACTAATTTTTAAACCGCTACACATGTTTTGGTTTACCAAAACAAACAAAAAATTGCACCAGTAAGAAATTGTTCAAAGCAAAACTGAGACTTTTAGAATTCTACTGTTCTGAGAATTAGCTAATTAATTTAATTAGCATAATTAATAATTAAGCTTTTAAAAATCACATATTTTTTCTCTCTACTGGATTAGTTCCATGGCATCAAAGAAAAGTTTACATTCTCAGTAATTTAAGCATTATTTTATCAGAACTTTAAGAATATGTGATTTTTTACCACATGATCTCACTCATTCATGGATAATAGAGACCATTATAAACTTTTGAACAATAATAGATACAGAGGCAGAGCTGCCTCAAACAGATTGTCAAACTGCAGCGGGAAGGCCGGGGAGGGTTGGGGGGCAGGAGGTAGGGGGGTAAGAGATCAACTAAAGGACTTGTATGCATGCATATAAGCATAACCAGTGGACATAAGACATTGGGGGATAGGGGAGGCTAGGGGACTGTCTAGGGCGGGGGGATAAAATGGACACATATGTAATACCCTTTGTAATACTTTAAGCAATAAATTTAAAAAAATAAAATAAAATAAAATAAATAAATAAAAAGAAGTAAAAAAAAAAAAAAGAATATGTGATTTTAATGTTCACTGCATTTTCTAGTAAGGTTTTTATTTAGTCTTAGACCCAAACTACTTCCCAAAGGAGAGCATCTCCAACTTAGTAATTTATGTCAACAAGAAAATATGACTAATTAATATAAATCAGATTTACTGCCAACTTTTCAGGAATACATTTATTTTGTCAAATAGCCTGTTAAACAGGACTATGATAAGAGAAACAAATGATAATAATACAAATAAATTAGATTCCTCAAGTTTCTCATTATTTTCAGAGAGTAATGTTGTAACCATGAACAGAAAAACACGTTATGCTTTCAATACCAAAATTCAAATACAATTTTGGCACTGCTACTCCATCAGTACTTAGAATGTAAGTAAAACAAAAAAGGCACTGGATACACATTCTTAATAATTACTATTCTGCACATATGTTGAGTGAGACAAGACATGGATAAATGAAATGCTGACAAGTCAGCATATGCTGTGACAAATGAGTGTTGTCGCAAGATCACCAATTTTGGATATCAAGATATATTTGAAGGTTCCTTGTCTTCCCCCTACCCAAAAAATCAGATATATTATTTGGCTTCTCCTAGCATTTTAAGGGGCAATAACTTATTAAGGTTCTGCTATATGCATTGGGCCATCCTCTCAAGCAAGGATTTTAAAGACAGGTCCTTATCCCATTGTGGCTTGGTTTTCTTGAGGAGGTACAGGACATAGAAAGATAAATCAAAGTCAGGGAAGAATATTCTTCATCCAAGTAGTGTTACAGGCAATGAGTGCTGCCAAGGACAAGTGACTAAGGATTTCTCTGGAGAGGGAGTCTTCTTGAGGATAGGCTGGCTGGACAGCAGGCTTGAAAGAAGATATGGTGACAGGAGATTTGACCTTGAATGGTGGGCACGCAATGCAATATACTGATCTTGTAACATAGAAACCCACACCTGAAATGTGTATGTTCATGTTGACCAACGTCACACGAGTAAATTTAATAAGTAAATAAATGTAGAAAGGAAGGAAAGGAGGGAGGGGGGGGGGAAGGAAAGAAGGAAGGAAGAAAGGTAGTTCTTAGATAAGCAAAGGTCTTCACAGTACACGGAAGGAAGGAAGGAAGGAAGGAAGGAAGGAAGGAAGGAAGGAAGGAAGGAAGGAAGGAAGGAAGGAAGGAAGGAAGGAAGGAAAGTAGGTAGTTCTTAGTTAAGCAAAAGGTCTTCACAGTACACACCATCACAGGTCCAGACAGGATTATGCGTGTCTGCACAGAAGTATGTAGAGGGCAGGTAAATTTGTCTGGAAGAGAGGGACTATGAAGGAAAGAACTTGTGCTGTTTGTTGATCATGATCAGACAATGATATTTAGTTCAAACAGGTTGTAAGAGCCTTGAAAACCAAACTGTGTTGGGACCTTCCAATGGGGAATGGAAGGAAATTGGAGATTCAGATTCAAAATTGTAAATGACTCTTATTTAGTTTGAGAGTGTTTTGGGAAGATTTGTGGGGCAGAAGAGAATGTACAGCATTGATCTGAGGGAGGAGAGATTATAAGCAGGGACACTAGTCATGAAATGCTGGGAGACCGGGAGAAGTCAAGGTGACTAAGATTCCAGTGGCTGAGTGAATGTGTGAACAAATAAACAAGGACAAAAGCTCCAAGAACTGGTTTAAAATGAAAGATGAGAAGTGTGGACTTTGATAAACTGAATGTACAGTCACCGTCAAAGATGATAGTAGAGGAAGCAGCAGCAGATGGAGACCCAAGTCTGAGAGCTATCAGAGCAGCAGACACAGGCATGGAGTTCTCCTCCTGGGAGGTCCATGGTTGAACCATGGCAGTGTAAGGGTCCTCCATGGGAGCTCAAGTACAGTCAGAACAACAGAGAAGGCTGAAGAATTAGTTTGAGACAGGTTCAAATTGAGAGAGAAGAAAGTTGAATTGGAACAAAGAATGGAGAAAAGACATAACCAAAGAATTAAGTGGAGAAAGAGGACAATGCAATGTCTTCGATGCTGACTGACTGAGGTTAAAGAGAATGACAGCACAGTCACCACTGGCCTTGGGAAGAATAGCTTCAGGAAAATAACAAGGTGAAAGCTGAATTGCAATGGCTTAAGGAGTAATAGTGGAAAGAGCAAGTACAATGTTTAACAATATGAAAACAACAAAAACCAAACAGCAATTGAAAGGAAAAGAGAGGGGAAATTTTAGTCTTAAAGAATCACCCCTGGTACAGAAGGTAAGTACTGTGGGGCCCCATATTTGGCCTCGATGGACTGTGGAGGTAGTTCATGGTCTGGCTCTTTAAATTTGACTTCTACTTTTCTGTTTAGGTGACATGCACATCTTTTAATAAAGAACACTCACACCCTGGCTGCTGTGGCTGTTGGTTGGAGCATCGTCCCACTCACCCAAGGGTCCTGGGTTCAATTACCTGTGTGGTGTGTGCAGGAGCAGAAACCAATCAATGTTTCTCTTCTCTCCCTCTCCCTCTAAAACAATAAACAGATAAAGTACAATAAAAATTAAAAGTAAACATGCCTGGATTAAAGACCAAGGAAAACAAGTCCAAATGCCCACAAAAATAAAAGTAGTGAATCTTTACAAATGTATTGTGTGATTAGATTACTGATTTTTCTTTGAAAATTGTGTCCTAGCCTTACCACTACATCCTTCAGCAACAAAAATTGCACAGGAAATGAAAAGTTCTATCTACATATTTTTTTAAAGTAACAATTCAATTCTAAGGAGACACAGGCGGGCACTTGGCAATGCCTTTAAGTAGGGGTGGGGAACCTTTTCTCTGCCAAGGGCTATTTGGATATTTATAACATTATTTGGGGGACATCCAAAATTATCAACTTAAAATTAGCCTGCTATATTTGGTCAAACATTTAATTAATTCACCCCTAATGCCTTGGCAGGGCCAGACCAAATGATTACGTGGGGCGGATGTTTCCTGCCCCTGCCTTAAAGGAAAAGTTTGGTTATACAGCATGAGATTGTTCTTATACTTGTGACGCTATGAAAATGGAGAGAAGGGTTTCTGATTAAATGAAATAGACATTGCTTTGTAAAACCTCCACCGTAGCATTTAACAATTTCAAATGCAACTTCTGGTTGGATTTCAAGGTTGGATAGACAGCAAAGTCACCTTAGATAGCGTTTAATTGATCCACAGCTGTTACAAATATTAATCATTGTCAGTCTAACCATAGAGAACCATAAATATATTTCCCTAGAGTTCTTGATAAAATATAAGATATAAGGAAAAATTTACCCTATTTAAATAACAAAGTGGGGAGAAACACTGACCCTGGGTTAGAACCTTCCATCAATATTCAGGCAAAGGAAAGTATACCAAATACAAGGATACTTCACAGCAAGATTTATTAATACATCCAAAAGAAAGAAAGAAAAATCATTTTGTCACACTATATACAGATAATACATACAATGTTTTATACACATATTACATCAGTTTTTACACAAGAAAAATATACATAAAAATGTAAACTTTTGTATACAAAAACCCTTAAACAAATTAAACAAGGACCAGATAACAAAAGGAGACCAATCCATTATTATTTCATCAAATTTTTAAAACAGTAATACAGTACATTCATTGAGAGATATATGGAAAATGTGAACCATCTCTTCTTGTTTAAAGGGAAATTACAAACCAAAAGCCCATTCCCTCCCAAAGTGTGGTCTCCCCCAGTAACATCACACCCAATGCCTTTCCTTCAGAACTGGGGGGCTCGCACCAAACCTGCCAATCTCCTCATCTCGCTCTACAGTCTGTGCAGAACCCGGTGGCTCCTAGCTTTTGTGCATATAACTAAGCTTCCAGCCACTATTATCACAAATGCAGAGAAGATTCTCAGTTTGTAAGTTCCCTTTAAGCAACTTTCCTTTTTGTAAATATTTTTAATGTATGGACTATTAAACATACTTGTGTGCCAAGGTGACTGAGAACACTGAAAAACATAGGCTTCGAGGATCGCTAGTCCTTGCTACCGTGCAGTTACATTAAGAGATTTTAAAACTGTGCAACTTGTCATTTATTGGTTTCAAACAAGCCACCTCACCTTTGATTTCCCACTGCAACTTGGTTTCAGCTTACACTTTCAGTACTCTAGTTAGTACCATGCAATCGCCAAGAGGCTTTTTGTTAAAGGCTGTTTCTGATATCAAGTTCCAGCTAAGCTGCTCTGAAGTCACTCGCCCCCAACCTCTCTATTTTAGTTCTCAGGGGTACTCTTACTCCACTGTTTTTCGTAACATCTTACATTTAGATTGTCCGCCTACATTCCTCTCTGTAACACCTTAAAACCTAATCAGCTGCCAACTCATCACAAAATAAAATATTTAACAGTTCTTCTTAATACCATTTCATTAGGTGTGTCAAACTGATATGCTAATGAAAAATACTTGAAGCTGTGGGGAATAAGAATTAAACCTATGTCAAGTGCATGCAGACTTGGGAGTTCTTTTTTTTGGGGGGGGGGGGAGGGGGTAAAGGGAAGACCTTTAACTAAATAAATGCAAAACATGCTTAAGACAGCTTCATGAGAGTGCCGCCTTCCCTCAGAGTTGACTTTTGAACAAGGCAGAATAACAATTAGGTGATATAGTTCCCTGCAGCAAGAGTAGTTAACTTCCCCCAGGCAAAATGATCTGGACGATCATTATTTATTAATGAAAGGAAGAGGCAAATTGGTGAATTAAGTTGATCTAGGAGATGGTGGATGACATACACTAATGGAAATATTAGGACTGCTTTATAACTGAAATAAACAGGCTGGTTTGTGGTACATCAGAGAGCGGAAAAACACACACGGTCCCTCAAGTGAATTTCCAGCTCTCCTCCTGTGAGACAGATGGCATTTTAAAAATGACAGCCTCCCTTTTGATTAAAAAAATAAAATAAAAAAAGGAAAAGGAAGATAAATAAATAATGTGTGGATATCTTTAGATGAGAATTTTAAATGTTCTTTAAATAATTTTTGATAATGTATTTTAAATCATTACATACAACTGCCATTGCAGTGACAATATTCCAGTAGGGGCAGCATTTTGCTAAATGTAAAAGATTGCCATTTAAAACTCATACATATACATGTGTATATACAGTATATCAACACTATTTATATACATATATATCTAGAGAGCAACATTTCATTGCCTTGGAATATCTATATATCCACTCCCACAATATACACTAAAGACATACTGTGTGAGTATATAGGAAAGTATATGTACACATGCTCCAACATGTATAAATATACTTTTGTCTGTGTGTGCATAAGAGCTTGAAAGGCACAATATATAGGGATGCAAGTTTTCTAGAGAGCTGCAGCAAAGTTAAAACAATGCCACCGATGTGAGACAAGTCAAAAGGAAATATAGCAGAATGCATTCCACAAGAATTCATTAAAACAGTTTCATCATGAGTAAAATGAGTTGGTTATAGAATTCAAGAGGCTAACATGTGAGTCTGTGCGCTTTCCATTAAAATTAAAATGGTAAATTTTTTATCAAAGTCAAATTAAATGTTAAATGACAATAAAGGAGGAAATGAACCTAGCACTAATATCAATCATAAAATCAAATTCTTTTTTCAATTTAAGTAAAATGTTCCAAAATTATCTAGGTAAAATTTTTCAGTTTTGTTTGAATGCTGATTTTTGTCTGTGTGTTTCTGAAACAAAGATGAACACCTGGTTCTCAAAATTACTATAGAAAATATTCCCAAAACTTGTACCCTCTGGGAAATTTCAGAGATAAAAATCTTTAAAAGAAACAACCAAGATGTTAATGTAATACACTTAAGACAATGCTTCTGAAAGGACACAATAAAGGAGGAAAAGCACAATGAAGTGTTGTAAATGTTGAAAGATGGACTTAGAAGATGAAGAACAGCGGAACTGGTAAGAACGGCTCTAAAAGAAGTTCAGTTATAATCACCATAAACGAGACTATAATCCAAAGGACTTCCTCCGTCTTAGTCTGCTCTGATGATGGACTCGACTGTCACCTCCTCCCGCTTATAGCAGAATCCAGAATTTTCCATAGATGTATAATCTTGCTTAACAAAGGCTGTTTCTCTATTATACACACACATTTTTAGGGAAACATATGTATATAGCTTTATCTATACACACACATATACATACGTGTATATATAGATTTATACAAATGTATAAATAAACATAATACTTCTCAATCTTTCCATTGACAAGGCAAGTTCACATTCAGCAAAGTGCCGCCACATTCCATATACACATCTCTATACAGATATACACAAAGGGTCGATTTTCACCCTTCAATTAGGGGGACTTTACTCTAGGGAATCCCATTAATCAGTAACTGAAGGGAGAAATGGCACCAATACAAACTCCCTTCTTTCAGTTGCATGCATATGTACAAGAAATATGCAGGTTTCTTTAAATCTATAAAGCAAGAGTGAATGGAACTGGGAGATGCTGCAAAAATACCACTGTAAAAAGAACATATAAAGCTTTCGGTCTTGACTATATATAAGAAGAACAAGGCTTCAAACAGAACTACAAATTCAGGTGTACTTTCAGAAGCTGTTTTGACATATTTCAAAGTACATGATTTTTTAATATTAAAAATAAATGTGGCTGGAGCATTTAATAACAACTCTAGTTTTGACTACTTTAGACCACCAGATAATCCAGTAATGAATGTATAACAGCAAAATGGCAAACCTCAAAATATAGGAATGTTTAATTCCATATGGATCAAGTCAAGGGTAGCATATTTCCCCTATAGCCAAAATATAGGTGGAGGAGGGCAGGCTAACTTCATAAATAATAGCACAAGTAAGTAATTTTTTTCTTCATTTTTGAAAATAACTGAAATCATCTGTTTTGAAATATACACGGTGAAATGATCCCACCAATTCATTAAACAAAGCAGCCCCTTGAAAAATTGGCATTTTTTTTTTTATCAAAGGCCTATAATTTTCTTAACTTCACCAAGAAAAGATGATCAACAATATTTTCTAACTCAGTATATAAAGAAATCGTAAAAAAAAATAATAATAATAAATAAAATAAAATAAAAAAGAAGAAGAAGGCGGCTCAATTGATCTCTGGTCCCAGCACCCCAACAGATAAACACAGCCCTGTCGTCTCTCTCCTATCTTTATGCTCAGAAGCCAGAGGCTGGTCTTAGAACCTGCTGTTTCTCATGTCACTTTAAAAACATAGCATAATATAAGTTAAAACATTAGAATAAAATGCACATGATATCAGAGTTAGCCTTTTAACATAACATGATGAACAATTTGGTGTATTTATACAACAGAGACACTGAGAAAGCAATTCCAATACCCTCAACTAAATGAATCATATTTCTATAATACATTGCTACCTTTCTCTATTTTTACTGAAGCTCACACTCATCTCTCTCACACGTGCCCCCAATGGATATTTTTGCATGTGTGTAAAAACAGACATATACATGCACACAAGTAATTTAATTCTATTTTAAAGTCACAGTGGGAATTCCTTAGTGAGGAGGGATAAAAAGGTTCCTGAATAAGACACTGAGAACATCTAGATTTATTTTCTCTATTTTATTTCCCAACTTACAAAATCAACTGTAAATTAAAGAATAAATCCATAGGAAATAAAGGAGGTCTTAAAAACTTTGTTTACAAATTCCAGCTACAGTAGTTGGGAATTTTACTTGATCTATGTATTTCTATTTACCCTGTTACTAAGCTTCTAGCCATCTTAAGTGTAAACCACAGATCACTGACTGAAGAAACATGATTCTCAACAGTTCTATGAGCGTAATTAATGGTCTAAAGGTGTTCTACATTTTGAGGCCCCAGGATATCCTTTTATTTTATATATCTGCAAGGTAGCAAAGGACAGCTATACACCTTGACACAGCGGAGATCCAGTGTAAAAAGGTGCTTCACTAGTTTGTTTTATATAAAAAAAAAAAAAAAAAAAAAAAAGCTCTTATATAATTTTTTAGCTATTAAACACATAGGCAACATAACTCATTACACTCAATACAGCTTTAGTATAAAACTTATAATTTATGAGGTGATGTTAATAGCATAAATTAATATACCTTTTCTCTTAAAATCTACAATAAGTATTCTGAAAGCTCATCGGGGAAGGAGATTTTTAAATAAAAGTTTTAAAGCTGTGCATGATGGGAAAAGATTCTGTATGCTGAAGCTGAGATGAGAGGCTGAAGGAGAAAGGAAAAGTCCTATGCAAGACACTGTGGGCTATGAAACCAAATGTTTTCTCTTTCTTGCACTCTCTTCAATGATGAGTCACCTTTAGTTTTTTGAAAACTATTTTCTTATTTTAAAATCTGCCCTAATTTCCACAAGGAATCCCTGAGACATACTCAACACTGTACAGTGAAAAAGAACTATCACTGTTGAGAGGAACTGATTCAACCCTTGCAAGCAGATGAAGACAACGCCTATCACTTCCACACTCATCTGCTGGAGCCTATGGGATCTTAAGAGGTGAAGTCACTTCAGGGCCAATCAGTCTATCCCCAACTAAAAGCAATGGTGTGGCATTTCGCTGCACTGGAGCCTTCTGCACTGCATGTTGAAAAATTTTCCAAGGGGAACTTTGGGTGCATACAGAGCTTACGTCAGTGGTCCCCAGCTTAAAAAAATAAACAAACAAAAACAAAACAAGTGAAAGATGAGGGTCCTGTTACTCTTAGGCCAGGATCAGCATCAGTACAGACCGTGTGTGTATGCGTGCGTGTGTGCGTGTGTGTGCATGTGTGTGCGCGCATGTGTGTGTGTACACTGCAGGACTGGGGTGGGCTGAGCAAGCAGGCAGAAAGGGAAAGGAAGGAAGGCTGTGCTGTGCTGCCCTACAGAGGTCACTAAGGGTTAGACAGGTTTTCTCTTACAAAACTAAACTTCAGGTCACCAAAAACTCTGCCATTGAAAGGAGCCGAACATTCCCAGGACTCAGGGATGTAGGTAAAGAAAGTCATGCCAAAGTGGCTCGCCTGCCCTGACTCCACATTCCCTTTGATTAGCTCTGTGCCCCAGTGCAGAGAGGAAAGCTAACAAACAGTAAGAGCTGGAGTGGAAGGAGAATTTTTGCCATTTGGAAATAAGGCTCTAAATCTGACCACAATCTTAGCATTAATGATACTGGTTATTAGGAGAAATGTAGTCATTCATTTATATTTTATGTTTTCTTTCCCAACTCGCTGGTCAGGGGAAAATGAATATGTTCTTCACTGGTATTTTATTATGAATCTTTTGAATGATAGTGTTTAAAATGTCAATCTCCTAAACGTGGATTCAGGATCCCTCCCCAATATACGGGGAAACTTGTAAAGTTCATTAAATTGTTTTACCTTTCTGTAGAATGCCAGTGAAGATTCAATTATTTTCAATGTATTGAGAGAGTGAAAAAAATCTATGTTCTATCATATATATATTCCCACCCCCCACCCCAAGAAACATACATTTTTGTCAGGAAAAAATCCTTGGCACAACATAGGCGTTGGTGATGAAAGAGATAGAAATGAAGACGGTTTGGGAGGGCTTACATTTTCTTTCTGAAATTCTCAACAGGGAGTTCTGCTGACCATTTAGACCATTAAACATTAAACTACTCTATATGTGCCAGGCTAAAAACAGAATTTAATTGAATGTTAAAAGAAGTTTAAAAAGAAAGAGGATGAAGAAAATGCAAACTAGACACCTGAAAGTTTTTGAATGAATTTCAAACCTATTAAATAGTTTAGTGTTATTAATAGCATTATCTTTTTACAATTCTAATCCACAACCTTTTGAACTAGCCTGGAGTAAGGGTGATGCCTCACAAGGACGTTGCTGATGAAGCTATCAACAATCACCACCCACAATGCACTGCACAGGAGGGACTGCAGGCAAGTGGGCGAACTGACCGCATGGGACCCCCTGCGCATGCTCAAGCTCTAGTGCCAATTGGTGAAAACTGAAAGGAACAGGTCAACAGAAATATAAATTCTTTCACATAAGAAGAGAACTGTACCGATAGGGTATTTGTGTGTATCATAGATAACCTTTCTTTCCAAATCGAAGAACTATCTTTGCTTCTCTGGGCTGTGATCACGGATTGAGAACACTAAGAAATTACTTTAGTGTTAGTCACAGAAAAATGGGATTTCTAACTTGCAGTTGAGAGATTGGGCTTATTTAAGAAATGATTCTTGAATACTTATGTGGCAAAGATAAAGTATTAGCTTTCTTTAGCCTAAAGCCACTCAAGATGCAACTACAATTTGAAGGGCGGAATTCCAACTTTACTTCCATACTTACTATTTGCTTCTCATTAAATTACAGTCTTCTCGTGGAGGGACACCGGACTCACCACACTGCCCACCAGCATGACACTGCTCAGGAAGTCATTTGCAAAGAGTCATCTCTCACATGGCAGGTTATCAGAGAAAATAACCCTCCACAGTATAAGCTATGTGACGAGAATTAGAAAATTTTTTCATTGCATAGTCCGTCACTTGGTGGGTCAAGTGTAATTGCTATTAACTATTATGAATTGTTTACTAGATATATAACCTACCCAGCTGTGCAAATTGCTAAGTATTTTTAATAGAGAGAAAAATCAATGTCTTAAGCACTTTAATTAAAATAATATTAACAATTATGTAGAGAGAGTAAAGGAGAGAAAACACATCTTTTCTTCGGACACTAGATCACAGCCAATGAGTATCATACATTAGAATGGAATCCTGGTTTTCAGAACACAGAATGTATCTATTAACTGCAGCAACTTTGTAAATAAAATCACATTAACACAATCTAACTGGCCTTTATAAATGGTCCCGAAGAACTGCAGAAACAGAGTGAACTGAACCTTCTTTGCCACTCCTTCTCGAGTTTAACACCAGAATAAAAGCTAGCTTCCACCTAATTAGGACCTTAAATAAAATTTGTTTTTGATTCCAGTATTGCCTTATTATATATAGCATAAGTGCTACTTCAAAAGACACTAATTTTCATATTTCTGGAGTAAAAGACACTTCATTCCTTTCTTTACATATTAATAGCAAGCCTACTACTAATAGACTAGAATTGCTCCATTAGCTACCAGAAAAACATAACGGATATCTCTGGGTTCACAGATGTTCTTCTCTCTTCCAAAAGGGGACTCAAGAAACAGCAAGAGAAAAGCAAACCACAAGCTCCGGTATTTGTTTTGAAGTAGATGAAATGAGAGGAAAAATCTGTTTGTTTTTGACTAAGTCCTCACGCCTGCACTGGGTACTTTCTACATGTCCTTTCTTCAGCTATCACCGTGGGCATCTAAACAAAAATGAATTTTCTCCAAGTTTTTGGTGTGAAGCTGTAACTGGCAACATTCCTGATCATTTCCTGCCTCCTTCCAGGAAGCAGAAAAGGGCTTTTAAATGCACATAAAACAGAAAATTGCAAACAATAAAATGTGCAACTTACTGCAAACTCAGTTTTGATAACTGAAGAATTTTAAGCAGCTACCACGAGGGACAAATAGCCAGAAAAGTTCCAATGGACTCCCCGTGACTTTCCCTTTGCTGTCAGAGAAGGGCTGATAAGAACACAAGCTGCTCCCTGCAACCTTTCATTAGCACACAATGCAGACTAAGCCCAGTCGCTGGGAAGGGACAGTTATTGTAATGGGGTGTGAGAACAGTTCAGCAAACTAAATGACACTTTTGAGTAGAGGTAACTACTCATAATCATTTCATTACAGTACATTAACATAAAAAAGTTTACTCACATAGGTCCACAGGTGAGACATAGTCAAATGATCTGTTCTCACCATTCAGAATAGAAATTTATGGTGATACCGAATATAACTTTGCTTTGTGACATAATTTATAATTTAGAAATTTCTCAATCTGCAAAAAAGGCAAAGCTATTAAAAATAAATCTTCTAATCAATTATCATGATTTTAAAAAGAAACTAAATATATTACAAATGTATTTTTGGCCCATAAAAAGAAACTTCAATAAATATAAAATAGGGCATATAATGATTTCTTACAGTCATGTGACTTCCCCTCCGTAATCTCAGTCACATGGCACCTGCATAATGCCTGCTGATCACCATCATTCCTTTAAAAGGCAGAGAAAGAAAAGCTTTCAAAAGAAGGGACTGGTTACAAGTAGCATGGCATAAAGAGAATACATATTGGAAGTAGGAAAATACATCCCAATCTTTACCTATTGAAAAGAAATTAAGATCAAATATTCCCTGACAAATGAAGCATTATATCACATCATTAATAGATATGCTCTCTCTACTCATCTTTTAAAATATATATATGTTAAATTAGACTAGACTCAGGTATAAATAGCCAATGGTACCTCAGGGGACAGTAAAACGTCTCAGCAAAAGCAGAGGACAGATGCCTTTAAAACCTAGTTCCGCCCTTGGGGGGAGGGGCGAGGGCAGGGGAGAAGGCAGGTAAAAAGAAAACTCACATAGTCGTTTCATAGTCACCAATTTACTAACCTACCCAATATGATTTTTAAGTGTAAAATCCTGGTACTTGCAGACAACTTCCCAAAACTTAAACCTAAGCACTTAAATTATTTTAAAAGTACCAAAGAGTGGGTAAAATTTATGTCTCATTTCCATAATCTGCTTTGAAACTTTAAAATGTGTATCCTTCAGATATTACATATCACTTCACCACTGGTACACTGATTCTACAAGTGTCTTCAACATTTTACAAACCTTACCAAAGAATCACTACTGTAAACATGAAAAATTCAAAAGCAAAAGACGGACCAAGAAGTTTACAGATGCCATCTTCCCACATCTACCTGACCTACCCCGCTTTCCACATCGAAATATCTCCTTTAATTACATCTCGCGAATGCGTTGGGGCAGAGGGACCTAGGAACAAATGCATGTCCAACACGGCGACATGACCAGCAGACAGGCTCTCAGCAACCCGGCAGCATCAGGCGAGCGTCTCACCACTTCCCACGGCACCGATGGGAATTCAGCTTTGGGTTTCAGGCTAACTTAGCAGAAAGGGTTGTGCCATTCACGTGACCAGACCACCACCCTCTCTATTGAGGGAACTTTGTTAACTCAGTGGGAGAGAATGACCAACATGAGTAGGGGTGTGAGGTGTGGGGAAGAAGTCAGAGTCTTATATGCTCATTAGGAACAAAAGAGAACAACAATAGGACAGCTGCTCCGGCCCTGCACAGAAACACACGTGTGGGCGCACACATACACACAGGCAGTCCAAAGACTACTCTTTTTCTTTTTAATTAAATGTGATCACGATTAGGAATGGAATCCTGGCCTCACTGGTTTTTAGCAGTTGCTGTTACGTCAGAGTCTTGATCGGCCTCCACACACCATTTGCTATGTCTTACACACGGGGACTTGACGAATGGGACCATTCTATCTAGAACCACCTATGTAAAGACCTGGTAATAAAATGGAAAGCATTGATCTGAATACTAGGAAATAGTAAAGGGCACTGGTAATCTGAGGTATCTTCCACTTCTAGGACTTGCTGCTGAGTCAATTCTATCCAGTCACTGTGCTGAGCCACTAAGGGAACCACGGGGGGAGTGAACCTGCCAGGAGGGAATGAGCACCAGTGCGAAGGAGCACGCGTGAACACTGCAGCACGGTCCACCGCAGGGGAACTTGTCTAACCGGAAAAGGGAGTTCCCCCTGCCCCCATCTGTTATTTTTTAAATCTTCTTTAGGAAAAGGGGAAGGGGTGATAAAAGAGGAAACACAGATAGAAAACACCAGGCTCCCCACCTGCCTGCAGACACACAGACACGCTCAGTTAGGGGAGGTAAAAGGAGAAGATGCATTATTGGTACTTGTAGCTGTGGCACCTGTTACTGTGAAGCCTGTAGGAGGCGCTATAGAGCTGTGGCTGGGCTGCAGGTCCTTGGGAATGCCACTGTGAGAACTCAGCTGGTGGCCGAAGGCTGCGCTGAACTGAGGGAGCTGCTGCTTGGGAGAGGTGGAGGCCATTAGCTCAGCGGAGGGCCCCATGCCACTGAAGCTGGTCTGCGGCAGCCCCGGAAGCACGCTGGAGCTGCTGGGGGTCGCGGTGGCGAAGGCAGGCTGTGTGGTCTCTGAGTTCGAAGTGGTGGGTGGCGTGGACAGGGAAGTGGAAAGAAGATGTCCATCTGCGTCGAGAAGGTTGCTAAATGGAGAGTGATCCCCAAGGTTGACAGGGAGATTGCCCCAGTGAGTTCTGGGGTTCACGACTCCTCCAAGTGGCACCTCAAGTTGGGTTGGGAGCAAGTGCTGTGCCATGATGGGCATCTCTGCTGAAAAGGTAGCTGCCATATTATCACCAGAGAAAGATGTTGTGTGGGGAGAGGTGATATGGTCACTGTAGGGAGACGGCACGTGCTCACTGTCATAATGGCTTCCGTGGGGCGAGGAGTGTGAATGATCACTGCTGTATTGCTGTCGTGAGGTGATTAGGTCATCTGCCTTGCTCAGCAGCTGGGCAGGGTGTGGCCTCTGGGAGGCATGGCTGCCATCGTGAAGTCCATGAAACTGTCCTGGGAAGGCTCTCTCCCCAAGTGCACTCTGGCTGATCAGAGTGGCAGAAGTAAGGCCAACGCTGGCTGGGGCAGAGAACTGCCCCTGGATCTGCCCTGCCAGGGGTGTAGGTGGGTTAGACAAGGTAGCAGAGCGGAGCAGGTTCTCATCCAGCTCTAGACTAGAAAAATTATCATGGACTATGCGCCCATTCAACAGCTCCCCCAGGTCCGTGTTCACTTCTCGGCTCAAGGACTGAATTCCTGGCGCTCCAGTACCTGCGGCGAACACCCCTATTCCTCTATCCGACAACTCCTGGCCTGGCACACCGTCTGACTGGGTGAGCACCCCAATGGTACTCAGGCACTCGAGAGAAGTTACAGCCTGCAAGGCCCGTTCAAGCTCCTCGGCCTCTTCGGTCGTTGGGAGGAGGTCTCCATTCTTTCCTAAGCAAACAAAAGTCATGGTGCATCAGCAGAGCTTTCACAGGTCCCACATTTCAAACACCATCCATCTGAAGTATCCCTGACAGTGGCTCTCCAAGAGAGGCCCTGCTGAGAAGAGAAATTTGCAAGGACTAGGCTAGAAGGAAAAATGAAATTTCAAGCTCTCCTGGGGCTGGTAGCGCGCCTTCAGTTTATTTATAAATAAACCCTCTTATCAGAGTGTTAGGAAGGAGCTCTACTGTGGACTCTTCCTGCTGGAGGGGCAGCTGTGCAAGACCAGGACGTAGAAATTCCCTGCGAGGTCTAGCACAGCACTGGGCACTCGACTCATTTCACAAGCTATCTTTTATAAGGCTTCTGCACTGCTTTCTACTACTTCCCTCTCATTCTTCATTCTTTTTCCATTTGTAACTAATGTTTGTAATATGGAAGCTGATGGGCCTACCCTGATTTTATTATCAATATTTTTAAAAAATCTATGGTTAGAAGCTTGATTAATTCACCACAAAAATATCCAGCTTTTAATAGTGAAAGAAACAGTCGAAGTGTAAAAGATTCCCCATGAAAACACCAGATAATTGGTGGGATTAAGCCAGTGGTTTTCAAGCTTCTGGCCCTTTAAATACAGTTCCTCATGTTGTGACCCAACCATAAAATTATTTTTGTTGCTATTTCATAACTGTAATGTTGCTACTGTTATGAATTGTAATGTAAATATCTGATATGCAGGGTGGTCTTAGGCGACCCCTGTGAAAGGGTCGTTCAACCGCTAAAGGGGTCGCAACCCACAGGTTGAGAACCACTGGATTAAGCAAACTGCTTTGGAAAAGTATATTTCAACTAAAGTACAGGGTAGAGTATTAAAATCAGAACAAGAACTAAATGCCTTCAATAAACTCAAGTTTGAAATGTCTTTGCTCAAAAGTAAACTCAAGTCTGGCCAGTGCGGCTCAGTGGTTGAGTGTATGAACCAGGTTACAGTTCAATTCCTGGTCAGGGCACATGCCTGTGTTGCAGGGTCAATCCCCAGCGGGGGGGCAGGCAAGTGGCATCTGATCAATGATTCTCTTTCATCATTGATGTTTCTATCTCTCTCTCCCCCTCCCTTCCACTCTCTGAAATCAATAAAAACATATTTAAAATAAATTAACTCGAGTAAAATTACTTCATTTTAAAGGAGTGAAGTTTTAACATGGCTATTGAACTATCCACCTACTAAGTCTATATGGGGTTGAACAAATTGCATAATCCTTACTTTCTGAAAAGGAGAAACTGGCTTATGCAGCTTCATATTCTCTATCTACAGTGGAAGGCATTCTATGTTGAGAATGAATATTTCAAACACATCTCAAAAAACTATTTCCCTTTTTACAAACTCATTTTTTAAAATATATTTTTTATTGATTTTAGAGAAGAAGGGAGAGGGGGAGAGAGATAGAAACATCAATGATGAGAGAGAATCATTGATCGGCTGCCTCCTGCACGCCCCCTACTGGGAATCAAGCCTGCAACCCAGGCATGGGCCCTTGACCGGAATCGAACCTGGGACCCTTCAGTGCACAGGCTGACGCTCTATCCCCTGAGCCAAACCAGCTAGGGCTAAAACTCACTTTTCTTGACTAACAATATTGACAATACCTTCAAAAAAATCAAAATCCTGTAAGTCATCAGGCAGCCGTGGCAGGACGTCCGAGAAGTCCTCCTGGTTCAATTCCAAGTCGTGTGGAATGTCAGTGATCTCATTGGCAATGTCATCCGGCAACTCATCAGCACTCAGCTCTGGCGTGGACGGGCTCCTGGGGAAGAGGACATGGTTGCCCCACCACTCCCCTTGGCCTTCACACCATGCCCCCCAGACAGGGTCCTCAAGCAAGAAATCGGGAAAACCTAACTCAAAATGCCTCCTTTCTACTTTAAAAGAAGGAAATTTGAAAGCAAACAGACCTCACCACATATAGTCACATATTTCTACAACCTTTACTCATGTATTGAGACAACCATTTCAAAATAATATTTTTTACTTCAAATTAGAATAAATTACAGTTTGGTATATCAAGTGTGTCAATACTTTTTATAGGATTTCAAGTCTGGTCAATATAATAATATTTAAAAGTGAAATAAACAGATAAAACTAAAATGCTTAGCTGAAACAGAAGCCTCATTCATATGGTCAAATGCTTACCCCTGCCAAAACTAATAATGCATCAAATTTCTGATGGAATACTTCTGCTGGGACAGATATGGAATTTCTGTAGAACAGAAAAGTCTAAGAGTAGACAATTAAATCCTCAATTTCAACATCTGCTCTCTTTGTTTTAAACAAAAGCTTTATTTCAGATATATCCCAATCAGATATTTGGTAAAAATTGTGCTGAAAACTAAAAAGTTTAGGCTGATGCACCAAATGGTGTATTGTAGCCTAGCTCCAGCACTAGAGAAGTGAATGAACCGAGGTGTCCTGAGAACAATTGGAACCCGTGAACTCGGGCACGACACTGACCGGATCTGAGAGGCCTCCACTGGCAGTGAGACGCTGGTGGGCATGCTGAGGTTCCCTTGGGGTACTGCAGGGGGAATGGGCTTTTGGGGTCGACGAGGTCCACGCCTTCGCTTCTTCTTGTGTTTTTTGGTAAGTGCAGGAGGCTTGGTTTTTTTCCTGGGTTTCCTCTGCTGCTGGTGCTGAACTTTCCGGGAGCTATCTCCTCTCAAGAAATTATCCTTTGAAATGAATAAAGGGGTATTTTTAAACTGAGATTATTTGGGGAAAATCTAACAGCTACCTAAAAAAAAATACTTATATCTTTTAATATTTTACATAATGCCTAAATACACTAAATACCTAAAATTACGTATAATAAACAAATGAATTAAAAACCCCATTTTTTATATAATGCAAATCAATTCAATATATACATATCATTCTCCCACATTTAAAGACATTGTGATGGGTGCTGTGGCATAAAATATTTTAAAATTTAATTTGCAGTTTCAAAGGACTTACTCTGTCATGGCAAAAACATGAATACATACATAAATACAGTAGAGAAAATTGGGTAATAGTGACATAAACACCTCTGGGAAAACGAAAGAAAAATCAATTACTTTTAGTTTTGTGGGATTAAAAGACAAGTAAAATTTTTAAGTCCTTGGGGTTGAGGGGAAGACCTTTCTAGGCTAAAGAAAATAGCAGAAACCAGTCAAAAAGAACAGTAAATAATTGTGTTTGACTGGTACTTGGGGCAGAATGGAGGATGAAGTACAGAAGTAAGCTATAAAGAAGTTTGATACCAGATCATGTATGACTTTGAATACCCTACTAAAGATTTTAAACTTATTTTATAGGCAAAGGGGAATGATTTTTGATGAGAGGAGTAGCACACATGTGCAAAGTTGGTCACAGCTTTTTGTATCGTCACTGTTTGAATTAACGTAAATGCACTGCTGGTTTTACATGTAGAGGAAAAACTATTGTGTATGCAGAAAAACACAAAGAGCAGCAGGGTATAAATTATTATTAGTGAAGCAAAAACATTCAGTATTGAAGAACTGACCACAATGCCTTTTTTTTTGCAAAGCAAAATCCCAATGAGAAGGGAAAACAACCACCAAGGAGAGGAAGCTGGATTACAGCTAATGTCAGTAGAAAATACTACCTTCCACAGGTCAAATAATCCAGCTGAAAGCAAGAACGATACAGAATCCATGTCTAACAAACCGTAAGTGTAAGAAACGCACTGTGTAGAACCTTTTCTTCCTTGGTGGTACATACAAAAAGTGGTTTTTACAACCACTGTCACCTTCGATTGGATGAGTTCAGCAATAACACAACTAAATAAATAAACAAAGAATAGACAATAGTATTGAAAGAATAGTAACTGCGTTGGCCGGTGTGGCTCAGTTGGTTCAGCAGCGTCCCAAGCACCAAAAGATCACTGGCTCTGTTCTCAATCAGGGAGCCCTGAAACTGTAGCGTGCTTACAGTGGGCAAGAACTGTTCCCTCAGCATTGTAGTACATATGTTTTAACAATACCTTGCACATAGCAGAAGAACTCATTAAGTGTCTGATGGGTGAAAACAATAAAAGTGCATGTATTTGAAATGATTGCATAATCAGATAGGTCACTAATTCAGACTCATCTTTCCTCTAAACTATTCTTAATTACTTAAGACTTATAACACTACCATTAACAAAAATAATGACTGTTCAATACAAACACAGCAAGGTTTGGCTTTTGGCCAAAATTTTAACAAAGAGCCAAAACATTCAGAGAACTGTATCTAAAACAACAAAAACCTAGAGAAATAGGACAAAAAGGAGCATGGGAAATCTGCTAGGTAGAAGAAAATATAACTTAAGGAGAAGAGAGGTATAGAATAGGAATAGATAGTAAATAAAATACCCATATTTAAGAAACTGCTAAAACATTGTTGCTGTTTATAAAGGAGAGTATGAAATTAATTCAATGAGTCAAGACCAATAATTGTTTTTAGTAAAATAGAACAGCCTAGCAAATATCAGGTACTAAAAGTATTGTTTCATAAAACTTATTTCAGTGATTCATATACATAGTTTGTACTAAGTCACAAAATACTTCCTTTTATGGAAAGCTATCAAAAGTTTGAAAGCCTCTGCTGCAGAAAATAAAATCTGGACTTACCATTTTTTTGGCATGTTCTTCACACAGGGGTGTCTGGTGTGTGATGTCAAAGACAGGCACAGAGCACTGCTGTCCATCTGCAAACTTGGCCGTGCAGCTTGAGAAGAGCTGCTGAGAGCGGTTCAAGAGGATGTCTGGGGTTTTTAAGTTAGGAATCCAACACATTGCAACTCTACTTAACTTTTCAATTTTTATGTAAAACTTTCTTCTTTCCTCACTTGTGCTTAGTAAGTATAAATTTTAGTATTTATAAAAGCTAAAGAACCAACCCAACTCCTGAGAGGGAAAACAATGATAGTTTTATCATTATTTATCAGGAGATACGCCTGAAGGAGTCTATTTTGCAACGGGCATCTAAATACTCGTCTCCTTTATGGTCATTCTGATTTCTGTTATTGGGGAAGCAAGGTCATTTCCTTCTTAGCATGCAACCTCCCAGAAGTTCCACTATAATGGTTAAAAATAACAATACTTTCTTATAAGGAAAACTTCCTCAAATATGATACTTACCAAGAAGAATAAAAACATCTGAAACTAATACAAAATATTTAATATATACTGATATTGAAAAAATAAAGAATACAACATAATTAGTTAGCTATAGATATAATTCTAAAAAAAATCTCATCTACCCAAATTTGGATTTTTCACCTCATATTTCCAACACTAAACTCAAACTTACAACTTAAAAAAAACTCCTTTTAAATCAAAACTATACTACTAAAATTGGAACATCAGCTCTATAGCACCAACATTTTTTTAAAATTTTTTAAAAAGCATATTTTATTGATTTTTTACAGAGAGGAGGGGAGAGGGATATAGAGTTAGAAACATCGATGAAAGAGAAGCATCGATCAGTTGCCTCCTGCACACCCCACACAGGGGATGTGCCCGCAACCAAGGTACATGCCCTTGACTGGAATCAAACCTGGGACCCTTCAGTCCGCAGGCTGATTGTCTATCCACTGAGCCAAACCAGTCAGGGCCAACATTTTTAAGAATCCATACTTTTAGCCACTAACTACATTTCCCCGAAATTTAGTTTATATCTATTAAGAAAGTATCTTATTTCCCTTATGCTTTTATAGTTAAGACCCTTCATAAGCCTTTACTGCACAGAAACTGCTGCTAAAAAGTTGTGAAAATACAACCCCAAGAATAGAACGGAGGGCAAAAGTCAGGTAGTACATTAAGTAACTGTTACCATATAAATTTTTTAAGTGCTACTCTTTTTAAATGTTTAACAAAAGTGAGAGCAATAAGATTTCATAACCAGCCTGAAGCCCTTACTGTAAGTTTTCTTCAAGTATTTTCTGTCTGAAGGTATTTTCTTTCTTAGTGATGTTTACATTTTATTCATTTCAAATCAGCGCTGTACTCAGTACAATTAGCAAACTAAAACCACAGCAAAAGGCACACTGTAAAACTGTATGTTTCTTAGAAGATTAAAAACAGTTTCTTAATAATATGATTTGATTTTTCCATCAATCAATGTTACAGCTACTTGTTACAAATTATCTAGAACCATTGGAAGGATTGAAATTCTGTTAACAAAATTTAATCAAGTGACAGCCACTGGAAGAACCCGCTAGTTGCTGTCAATTTTGCTTATTGCAATGTGATTCTAGAATGAACAACTGCAATGATATAAGCAGAAAAAATTACCCAGAGGACATCATGGAAATTAGAAGTTATATAAAAATTATTTTAAATATTAAATAGAGATGTTTACAAAAGTCATTCACTTGGCTTAAGAAACACTCAGCCCTAGCCAGTTTGGCTCAGTGGATAGAGCATCGGCCTTCAGACTGAAGGGTCCCAGGTTCCGTTCTGGTCAAGGGCACATGCCCGGGTTGCAGGCTCGATCCCCAGGAGGGGATGTGTAGGAGGAGCTGATCAATGATTCCCTCTCATCAATGATGTTTCTATCTCTCTCTCCCTCTCCCTTCCTCTCTGAAATCAATAATATATTTTTTTTAAGAAAGAAAAAGAATGAAACACTCAGCCCTGAAGGAGTCAAGACTTAAATGCACACTCAATTTAGTTTGTAGGATACGTTGGAAACAATGTCTGGTGAATGGAAGGGCCTTGTTAGTGCACTGTTCACCCTTCACCATGCCACTGCATGCTGCTGGTTCCACCTCCCTCAACTTGGTCCGGCTTATGCTAAGGAAGGGAAAAAAAATTAATTTTTAAAAAATGCTTTAAGAATGCAGGACAATTTTTCAACACTATGTTACTATAAAGTAATACCAACATTTTACCTCTTTACATTCACGAAATAAATGTAAATATGGGTTACAATGACCAGTTCCACAGTTTCCCTAATCTACTAACAAAAGAAAAAATCAGTTTTAACTATGCCTATCTGTTTTCTTCTTATTAAAGTGATATTTTGATTCCTTTTACTTCAGAAAGAAGATTGTAGAGAAAAGTGATGAAGAACATGAGACTAGATGAATCAGACCTGGTTCTGAAAATCAGCTCTCCCTCTTACTAGCTGTGTGACTGTGTCAAGTTACTTAGCCTTACATAAGTCTCAACTGCCTCACCTGTAAAGTAGAGATAAGAAAAGATAACACATCTAAAATACCATCAAATACAGTATGATACCTAATAAGCAGTCAAGCCTACTATCTGGAGACAACCACTACTAAAATTTAGATATAAATTCCTAAAATGTTACATACTATATATATTCAAGGTTATCTGAAAATGTAATAACTAAAAAGTGTGAAATAATACTCAATACAGAACGAAGCCTTCTAAATGTGAAAATTATTTCGCTAGTTAAATAAGATGTTTTTATCAATAAAATATTATATAAACATTATAAATCATATTTTCAAAACAATCTAAGGACATTGGGGAATGGCTATATTTTTAAGGGGAAAAATGGACACATAACTCTTAAGACAATATAGATCTAATTTTGCTTAATTACATACATAAAAATGAAAAAATGTAAAGACTGACATTCATATTATGAAACCATTAAAAGTCATGTTTTAAAGTAAAAAGGAGGTCATAATTCAGTGGAAAAAAAGCAAAGAATAAAATACATATAGCATGATCTCAATTTTGCTTTTTAATACAAATAATACATGGCTCACTGGAGATTCACACACACGCGTGCACACACACACACACACAGAGAAAGAGAGAGGGGGGGGGGGGAGAGACTAGAAGGAAATAGAATAAAAATGTTCATAGTGCTCGTTCTGTTTTGTGAATGATGATATTATTATTTATGGAGATTCCCCGCTTAAAAATATTTACTTTATTTTTAAATATATTTTTACTGATTTCAGAGAGGAAGGGAGAGGGAGAGAGATAGAAACATCAATGATGAGAGAGAATCATTGACTGGTTGCCTCCTTTATGGCCACTACTGGGGATTGAGCCCACAAACCAGATATGTGCCCTGACCTGGAATCTAACTGGTGACCCCTTGGTTCATGGATTGACACTCAACCAACTGAGTCACACTGGCCAGGCACTGCCCTTTTTATATATTTTTCACAGTAACACAAGTATCTGCACTATAAACAGTGACTCCCCCCGCCAAAACATCCAGTGTTAATAAAATATTTAAACATACAATGTAGATATTAACAGAAACACATTTCAAATAAAAAATTTTTTAAAATAAAAAATGTAAAATGCCACTTTCATAGTAAAAACTATGAATATTACTTTTAAATAACATACAAAATTTCTAGGCACTGTATTTTTTTTAAAGATAGGTAACATTCTCTTATCCTTTACTGAATAAATTCTAATCAAACTCTAGAAAAATACAGCAATGCTTTAATTTTTTTTAATTCTCACAGGAGAGCATGCTTAGAGAGAGGAAGGGGGAGAGAGAGGAGAGAGACAGAAAGAGACAGACAGGCACCAAAGTGAGAGAGACAGCGATCGGCTGCCTTCTGGTCTGGGCCCTGACAGGGTTCGATTGAACCTACAGCCCCCAGCTGGGCAGTAATGCTTTAATTTTAATGTCGGCTCATGCAGTATTATTTTGCCATCCATGTAGAACCTTATTTGAGCAACAAAACCAAAATACAATGCATAAATATTTCAGACTTAAGTGCCCACAGCCCATCGTGTCTCAGCTATCTTCTCACAAAGTACAAAAAAGAGAGGACAGGTTCCTTAGAAGTGGGCGCCGCGCACGGCTCTGACCTGGTTCGGTGGCACGCAGCTCTCTGCAGTTCTTGGATTAACTGGCCAGCGCACTCTGGTTCTCGACTGGCCGCCTGCAGCAAGGCTTTCCTAAACGTGTGCCGGCATTTCTTTTGACGGGATTCTGCCCGCTCCAGGCGGCAGAGGTGCTTATATTTCTGCTGAAAGTAAGTGCAAAGTTGGGTCACCCTGGAGCTCCTACTCTCCGTGTCATCGTCATCTGACCTGGAAGGTGCCAAGAGAGAAGTGAAAACCTGATTACCTGTGAGGCTCCTTTTAGAAAAGGGAAACACGGGGAGGAAGGATAGCTGGATGCACAGGGTTAAAATTTGTGCCCTGTGAACACATACTTAACAAAATTAGTGGAAGAGAATTCCAGCAGAGCTGAAAATAAGCACAATATTTCAACAATAAGGCAGGCAACAGAGGCAACCCAATGCTTTAAGCTTAACCTTCTCAGCATATCAGAATTAGACAGTGCTCTGGGTCTTCTAAACTCTTAGGAAGAATATATTACTTACCTTTACTTAATAAAAAGTCTCAGTAAGTGGCATGACAGCTATGAGGAAACAGCATAATTTCGTAAGATAGGTCATACCAGAAATAGAGCCGTGAATTCTAACAGCACATTATCAAAGAGCTGCCCCTTTAGACACACTGGCTTTTCTTGCTAAACACACAAAAAAATTTATTGTAGGGATCACAATCATTCTATCTCACTTTTTACTGTTAGAAATAAGGCACACTAGGCTTGGAAATGGACCATGTTAATTATTTTCTCTTTTTCTATTCAATTGTAACATAAATAAATAGCACCCATGTGACCCTACAAACAAAATGCTATCTTACTCATCTTCTGTAAATCATTGCTTGGTTTCTCTTCTCGAGCGGCATCCCTCCCTTTTCCTTCAGAATAGCCCATTAACAGGCTGTCGGCCAAATTCCATTTAGTGTATGTCCTAAGAAACATGTTCCCTTCAGTGTACACTCTCTACAGGTATACTAATTGAAGGCTTTTACTTCAACCTTTTCATTTATTCAACATTCAACAGTTACTGTATGTCTACTACGCTAAATACCATAGAGAAACAAAACATTGTGGAGTCTGCAATGTAATTTAGACAAGATAAATGCATCCCAAAAGTTAAACAATTCAAGAGGATAGACTCAGTACCTGAAACTGTGGGGCAGTCAGACCAATGATTCAAACATCTGACCTCAAATTTGAAAAGTCTAACTGTTCTTTAAAATGTCAGATTCCCACGACCTTCCTGAGACCTAAACCAGAGTTTCCATGGGATGGGGCCCAGGAATCTTTATTATGAACTAGAGGCCTGATGCATGAAAATTCATGCACTGGAGGGGGATCCCTCAGCCCAGCCTGCCCCACCTCACAGTCTGGGAGCCCTCAGGATAAGGGAAGGCGATGCCCCCATCACACCTCTGCTGCTGCCACTGCCAGCAGCACAAGCCTTGGCCAGCCCTGGTTACCTAAGCCTTGGGCAGCCCTGGCGGCTGGGGGGCTGAGGAGACTGGGGGACTCTGGAAGCAGGCACGTGGCAGGGCTGAGGGGACTGGGCACCGCCATCTGTGAGGGTGGGGAAGTAAATTAGCATATTCCCTCCTTATTGGCTGTGGGTGCCACCATCTTTGAGGGCGGGACAGTCAATTAGCATATTTCTTCATTGGCTGTGGGTGCCACCATCTTTGAGGGCGGGGCAGTCAATTAGCATATTCCCTCCTTATTGGCTGTGGGCATCACCATCTTTTGCAATGGTGTGAGGGTCAATTAGCATATCCTTCTTTATTAGATAGACTAGAGGCCCGGTGCACAAAAATTTGTGCACTCAGGGGGGTCCCTCAGCCTGGCCTGTGCCCTCTCGCAGTCTGGGACCCCTTGGGAGATAACAACCTGCTGGCTTAGGCCTGCTCCCGGGTGGCAGAGGGCAGGCCCAATCCCTAGGTGCAGCCCCTGGTCGGGCTCAGAGCAGGGCCGATTGGGGAGTTGGGGCGCCGCCCCCTGTCATGCACAGAGCAGGGCGATCGGAAGGTTGTGATGCCACCCTCAGTCACGTTCAGGGTAGGGCCGATTGGGGGGTTGGGGCACTGTCCCCTGTCACACTCAAGGCAGGGTCGATGGGGAGGTTGCGGTGCCACCCCGTCACGCACAGAGCAGGGCCAATCAGGAGGCTGGGGCACTGCCCCCTGTCACTCACAGAGCAGGGCCCATCAGGGGGGTTGGGGCTCTGTACCCTGTCATGCACAGAGCAGGGCCCATCAGGGCGGTTGGGGCTCTGTACCCTGTCACGCACAGAGCAGGGCCAATCAGGGGGTTGGGGCGCTGCCCCCTGTCACGCACAGAGCAGGGCCCATCAGGGGGTTGGGGCACCGCCCTCTATCACCCACAGAGCAGGGCCGAGCAGGGGGTTGGGGTGCCGCTACTCTCACACTCAGGGCAGGGCCGATGGGGAAGTTATGGCTCTACTCCGTCACACACAGAGCAGGGCCCGTGGGGGGTGGGGAGGGAGGGGTTTGGGGTGCCGCACCCTGTCACACACAGAGCCGCAGGGCGATCAGGGGGTTGGGGAGCTCCCCCCTATCAGGCACAGAGCAGGGCTGATCAGGGGGTTGGGGCGCCTTCCCCTGTCACGAACAGAGAAGGGTGGATAGGGAGGTTGTGCCCCCCCCCCCCCCCCCCCCCCCCCGTCACACACAGAGCCACAGGGCGATCAGGGGGTTTGGGCGCTGCCCCCTGTCATGCTGATCCCGGTGCCGGGAGGCCTCGCGGCTCCGATGATCCCAGTGCTGGGAGGCATATTACCCTTTTACTATATAGCATAGAGGCCTGGTGCACGGGTGGGGGCCGGCTGGTTTGCCCTGAAGGGTGTCCTGGATCAGGGTGGGGGTCCCCACTGGGGTGCCTGTCCAGCCTGGGTGAGGGGATGATGGCTGTTTGTAGCTGGTCACACACCCTTCAGGGTGGGGGTCCCCAATGGGGTGCCTGGCCAGTCTGGGTGAGGGGCTGAGGGCTGTTTTCAGGCTGGGGGTGACTGAAGCTCCCAACCGCTCCTTTTTTCTTTTTTCTTTTTTTTATTCTGGGCCAGCTTTAGCTTTGAGGCTTGGCTCCAGCTCTTAGGCCTCCGCTGCTGAAAGTAGGTTTCTGGCCTTTGCTTACAATGTTGCGATCCTGCTGGCTGAAGCATGGAGGACTAAAGCAGGTTTCTGGGGTTTTGTTTAGCTTCTATATTTGTTACATAGTTGCTTAGAGTTGCAGCTCAGAGGCCTGCAGCAGCAGGCGGGGAACGTTGGAGTCCTCCATCACTGAAGCAAGCAAGCCTCATGTTAGCTTCAAGCTGCCTGGCTGCCGGCCGCCATCTTGGCTGGCAGTTAATTTGCATATCACCCTGATTAGCCAATGGGAACGGTAGCGGTCATACGCCAATTACCATGTTTCTGTTTTATTAGATAGGATTGTTGCCCCAAGTCCCACAGCAAGTGTCAATTTGGGAGTTGTATCAGAGCCCTAAGGGCTGTATTGTTAATGCAAAGTCACAACATTAAGTAACATAAGAGAGGCATAGATAAAGTGCTATTAGTGTTCACTAGAAGGTTTGCTGCATAAAAGAAAGGCTTTGCAGAGAAGATGACAACAGAACCGAAGCTTGAAGAAAAGGCAGAATTTGAAGATAAGACACAAAAGGTACCTCACAAGGATAAAACAATATAGGCCAAGATACAGAGATGGACAGGATGGAGAACAGCAAGTAGCTTGGTTTGGCTAAAGTGTGGGGTTTGTAGGAGAGTGATGGTAGGTAAGGTAAACTTTCTACACCTGAACAACAGATTAAAGAGTTGAACCTTTTATTCCAAGGCAGTGAAGAACCATGTAGATTTTTAAGAAAATAGGTCACAGTAAGAGCTGTGCATGAGCAGGATTACACCATCAGCAGATGTGAGCGGAGGAACAGACAGAAGAAGAGAACAGTGAGGAAATTGTTATAAAACTCCAGGTAAGAGATAATAGGGAGCCACACCATAGTGGCAACAGCAGAACTGGAGAGGATGAGGGGTAACAACGGGGCAAGGAAATGGAAGGGACAATAATCACTCAGCAGTTTCCACCAGCAACGACCAGGGAACAGGAGCAAGAGCAGATTTGGGACAAAAAATAAATTCCGTTTCAGACCCAGCGAATTTCAAGTAGAGCTGAGAGGTATGAGAGGGAGCGGTGGCAAAACCGTTGGAAATGATAAACTGGAGCGCACTTAGGGATGAGATACAGATTTCAGAGTCAACAACTAACAACTGAAAGGCATGGGAGTGACTAAAGTAAAAAGCCAGAGATAACAGAATGAAAAAGACATATAAGGGCCATTATCATCAAAGAATTAACTCAATTTGGTGACTGGATATGAAGGATAAGAAAGTCACTAAGGACTCAGTGACTCTGAATCTGTATAACTAGAAGGATGGATGTGCCATTAATAGAAAAAGAAAAGAGAGGAGAAACAGCAAGTCCTAGAGAAAGTAAAGCCAGTGGGTAAGCACTTGCCAAAACTGTTGTTTGAAAAGACTATTACTGCAGGGAGGACTGGCCTAGATCAGTGGTTCTCAGGTGATGGCGGAAAGATGCATCGGCTGCCACATCTTCACAGACGTGTTCAGAGCTTACTCATGATTCCCACACTGCCCTTGCTGTGGACCAGTAACAAGTTTGTAGACCAGAGTAGGTCCACAGATCATCCCTAAAATGGTCCTAAACGAGAAAATCTCCAACTTGCTTCCCACTTCTAAGATGCTACGACATTAATATCACACACTTGGGTTTGCTAATGAAGAGTAGCAAACTGGGAAGGGAAGGGCCAGTTCCCATCCTTTACCAGCAGTGGAAAGGCCTGGCACCTAGAGGATTCTCAAGGTGTGTTACTTTCCTTCCTTCAAGGAAATGAGAGATATAGCTGGCTGGCTTGCCTATCCCTGAGGTTAAAAGGATGAAAAGAAATGACATATGTAAGATCACAATGTAAGTACAGGCATTACAATTATTTAAATGCTAATAACTCCAAATACAGAGCAGTAAATTCCAAACCTGGTTTCCTAAGACTTCCGGCTTATCTATAATCTCAAGGCATGGCATGAAATTCCCCAAGTAAAATTCTTTTTACTTTACTTTTTAAAAACAACAAAAGAGCAAAAAGGTAACATCTGATAAAAATAGGGGAGTCAAAAAAAGGTACTACATATTGAGGAAAATAATGAGTTTAATTTTAGAAATACTGAATGTAGGGTATGGCAGAATATTTAATAAGAAATATCTGATCAGCAGTTCTAACTCAAAAGAAAGGTCAGACCTGAGAAAAAAATCTGGGAGTTGTTCACATACAGGTAACAGTTGAAACAAAAAAAGGAGTAAAAGACTTATGGCAATATGGCAACTGAGATATTCTAAGGGACCCAAAGCAACTACATACAGGATAAGATAGGCTTATGGATGCATTTTTGGTCTCAAAGGAAGTAGACGAAATCTCTTTCTGAACTGCCTGGTCAAAAAACAAACCTGAAGACAGCAATAGAAACTTTCTAAAATGAAACAGAGAGAGGAAAAAATACTGGGGGAGAATGAGCAGGACATCAGTAAGTTAGGGATAATTTCCAGCAGCCTAAAATATGTGTAACTAGAGTTTCTCAAATAGAAGGGGGAAGAAAAATAATTGAAGAAAACTTGGCCAAAATTTTTCCAAATCTGATAAGACTTCTAAAACTACAGATCCAAAAGCTCAGTTGTACTTCTATCTGAAAGAATTGCTAATGGTAAGGAAACAGTTTTGAATGACATCTAAAATGGAACATCAGGAGAGGGAGAAGAAACACAGCATTTTCCAATAGTGTGTAGGCGATAGGGAGGGCAAGGACAAATAAGTGGGAAATAAGTCCCAGGGCTGCAAAGGGATGCCTCAGACTCTAGGTTAAGGACACTGACCATTAATAAACCTAACGAACTCCTTTTGCTCTAATTCCATGCCCAAGTAAGCATCTGATTGCATTTTGCTTCTCATGTAGTTCTGCTTAGAGAACATCTGTACTACTTACAGATTATATGTCTCACTGTAAACTGGTTATTTTGGTTTAGACGTCAGTGTCTAGTGAATCAGTTCCCTAAGCTTCATCTCCTCTGGGTGTACTTACAAATCACATTTTGAAGTCTATATGTATGTCCACTCAATGAAACTGCAAAATTCTACGAGTTGACCTGAGGCAGATAGCTGCTTTCCTCTCCATCTCGCTGAATATCTAGTCAAACCACAGTACTCTTCAAAAAAAATAATTAGCTGAGCTTGTGAGTTATCCTTTGGCCCTATAAATAAGGATGTATCTCAGTACCAGCACACTGCACCAGGTGGATTCCTCTGACTCTAAGGCAGTCCCCTAGAAAACAACAACACTGGCTTCCTCACTATCACTGAAGGAGCTGTGCATTAATCTACAGCTTCCCAGTAAGGTAGATACCAAGAACCTTTCATGAGATTATCTTGAAAAACATGTTGGCATATTAGAAATATTCAGTGCATTAAATATCAAAGAATAGGTAAATCGTGCAGAAAACAGAGGTGACGTCAAAAACACTATTTCCAGCCTTGCCAGTGTTGCTCAGTGGTTGAGCATTGACTCAGGAACCAAGAAGTCACTGGTTAGATTCCCAGTAAAGGCACATGCCTGGGTTGCAGGCTTGATCCCCAGTAAGGGGTGTCCAGGAGGCAGCTGATTGAGGTTTTTCTCTCAATGTTTCTATCTCTCCCTCTCAAAAAAAAAAAAATAAATAAATAAATAAAAACTTTCTTTTTTTAAAGCACTATTTCCAGATACTATGGGGATAGGGCCAACAAAGATAAGGAGAACTCAAAGAATGGGACTTCCAAGTAGCCTTGGGACCACAGGCAAGTTCCTTAACCTAGCTGGGTCCTGATTTCCTCTTCTGTAAAATGAGGAAATGGGCTCAGATAAATCATTAAGGTCCCTTTCAATTCAAAATTCTATTACAATTATTTCCCTCAGTGATAACTGGGAAAGGTACAGAAACAAGTTAACTAAGAAAACTTAAGAGTAACTTTCCTCAAACAATATAGTATATTTCTCTCCAGGTAGAATCTATTTTATCTCTCTTACAATAAAACTAAATCCAGTAAGTTTTTCAAAAATTGCACACATAGGAAAGAATCGATCGGCTACAGTGGTCACTGAAGAATAAAAACGAAAAGGAAGACTTACGTGTGTCTTTCATATCTGAGGGTTTCTCGGATGGACCATGCAACCTGGTATGGCGAGGCCTGCTCCGAGTCCTCCAGTTCCTCTCCACTCTCTTCAGACCAGTCCAACCCTGGACAGGAAAGATTATTACAAGTGAGAAAAAATTTACTTTTATTTAAAATTTAGATAAAAAGAAACCTGAAATATGTGACCTAACATCAATAGCAAGTGCTACCACAGTCTGAATAAGTGCCTCCTGGTGAGTGTCATCGCTACCTGACAAAGACAGTAATAATGAATGTATGACATACATTCAGGCCTAAAATAATGACGTTATTGCAAAAAGGCTATAGTCCAAGGATGGACTTTTTTTGTTTTTGTGTCCCCCCCCCCCCCCCCCCAATTTGTTTACATTCAATATTATTTTGTATTAGTTTCAGGTGTATAGCATAGCGGTTAGATAATCATATACTTTACAAAGTGTTTCCTTCAGTATTTCCTGTACCCACATGACACCATATATTATTATTAATTACATTATTAGCTATCTTCCCTATGCTGTATTTATATCCCTGTGACTATTCTGTAACTACCAATTTGTATTTCTTAATTCCTTCACTCAGTCCCCCAACCACCCTCCCCTCTGCCTACCATCAGTCTCTTGTCTGTGTTTATGAGTCTGTTTCAATTTTGTTCTTTAGATTCCACCTATAAGTGAAATCATATGGTATTTGTCTTTCTCTGGCTGACTTATTTCACTTAGCATAATAACCTCTAAGTCTACCCATACTGTTAGATTTCATTATTTTTTACGGATGAACTTCTTTTATCAGACATTTCACAAATGGAGCAGAAACAACACAAGCAAAGAAAGTTCAAGTAAAAAAAAAGGGTAGACTTTCATAAGTATCAAAATATTATACACCTAAAATGTCAGAAAAGCAAAACATATTCAAAACGGTGAGAAAAGAAGTTCAGGCAAGAAAAAAGTCAGAAGGTGCCAGTGAAGTCACTCTGACATCAACAAGGACCCTAGAAAGAATTGTCAAAAGTAAAGACATTCCATCGCCTTCCCAACATGAGTGGAGGAAAGGATTCATCGAGCAGGCGGGGCCATTCCCTGGCTCCTGCCTTCCATAGGAAGAGGAAAGAGCAGGGTGGCTTGGGTTTCTTTGAATTTTTTAAACAACAGCTGCCCCATTTAGTGTTCTATTTTGAAAAACAAATTTATAGGGAAAAAGTACAGAAATATAGTATGAACAATGCTTACTTATTTTGTTAAATGCTATTGTTTTTAATGATTGGATAATTGTTAGCTTCCAACAGAAAGGTTTTACTTGTTTAAAAGTTGTATAAATACTGACAATGATGAGCCTAAAATATGCCAGCATGTGAGACTACATTACTTTAATATACTCATGCTGCTGTTAGACTTTAATTAGATAACCAGTATTCTACATCTTCCTTCTTGAGACTGTCAAAAATCATTAAAGTTATATTTAAAAGGACTTCACAGATTTCTTCCATAATTTAAATCTTTTTTTAAAATTGATTTAGAGAGAGAAAGGTGAAGGGAGAAGAGAGAGAGAAAAACATAGATCGGCTGCCTCCTGCATACCCACTACTGGGGTTTGAGCGTGCAACCCAGGAATATGCCTTGACCAGGAATTGAATCAGCAATCCTTAGGTGCATAGGACCACACTCAGTCAACTGAGCCACACCAGTCAGGGCTTCTTACATAATTTAAATAAGTTTATATGTGATAAGTAGAGAAATTAAGATAAAGTTAACGGAAATGCAAACTTTAAATCAGTGGTTCTCATCAACCTTCCAAATGCCGAGACCCTTTAATACAGTTCCTCATGTTGTGGTAACCCCCAGCCATAAAATTATTTTCGTTGTTACTTCATTAACTGTAATGTTGCTACTATTATGAATCATAATGTAAATATCTGATATGCAGGATGGTCTTAGGCGACCCCTGTGAAAGGGTCGTTCGACCGCCAAAGGGGTCGCGACCCACAGGTTGAGAACCACTGCTCTAGAGTAAATAATAAAAGGACTAAAAAAATATATATATATAGGTGAAATACTGATGGGATGAAGAGCACCCAAAGATTGGCGGGAGGGGAGGGGAGAAGCGGGGGGGGAGGGGACACGACGACTGACTAAAAAGGAAGAAATCCTTAAAAAAAGAGAATACATTAAAAATTTTAACTTTTCCTTTTTATCTGCCTCCGTGGCCGCCATGGCTCCCATGAAAAAGCTCCTGGCGAAGGGGAGCAAAAAAAGAGAAGCAGGTTCTGAAGCTCCCCTTGACTGCACCACCCAGAAGATAAAACTATGGACGCTGCCAACTTTTGAGCAGTTTCTTCAGGAGAGAATCAAAGTGAATGGAAAAGCTGGGAATCTTGACAGAGGGGTTGTAACCATTGAAAGAAGCAAGATGTCTGAGGTGCCTTTTTCCAAAAGGTATTTGAAATATCTCACCAAAATATATTTGAAGAAGAATACTCTACGTGACTGGTTGTGTGTAGTTGCTAACAGCAAAGAGTTACGAATTGTGTTACTTCCAGATAAACCAGGATGAAGAGGAGGAGGAAGATGAGGATTAAAACTAATTTATCTGGCACATTTTGTATGAGTTCTTGAATAAAACTTAGGAACCAAAAAAAAAAAATTTAACTTTTCCATTCCAAAATCATAATAGATATTTAAAAGCAAATAACAAATGGGAGGGAGGAGAAGTATTGTAACAAACACGAAGTATGCATAAAAAGCTCTTACTAATAAAGAAACCCAGAAACACATCATTAAAAATGAATGAAAAATTGAAAAGGCGAAATAAGAAATACAAATGTCCAAAAAAACCCATACGGACAAATATTCACAATATTAATAATCTGAAATAACAGTTCTCACTCAAAGTGTGGTCCAAAGATTCCCAGGGGTCCCTGAAACTCACAAGGGAGTTCCTTAAGTCAACCCTGTCTTTAAAATAAAACTAAGAAATTACTTGTCTTTTTCACTGTGCTGACAGTTACACTGATGATACAACTATGATGGGTAAAACTGCTGGCGTAAGTCAAAGCAGTGGCTACAAACTGTACTAGAAGTCAGTATATGTTTCACACCAGGACTTACAGTTAAATAAAAGCAATAAAGTTTTAAGGATGTTCTTGATAAAGCACTTGTTTATTAAAAATTGTTTATTTCATTAAATCTCAATTCCTTAGTATATGTCAGTGATGGCAAACCTATGACACTCATTTTTTTGGTTGATTTTTCTTTGTTAAATGGCATTTAAATATATAAAATAAATATCAAAAATATAAGTCTCGAAGAATTGCCTGAGGTCAAAGGGTTAGAACCAAGATGGCGGCATAGGTTAACGCCGGAGTTTGCTGCTTTGAACAACTACTTCAGAAGTGAAACCAAAAAACGGAAGGGACATCACCCAGAACCACAGGAACGCTGGCTGAGTGGAAGTCCTACAACTAGGAGGAAAGAGAAACGCATACGGACACTCAGAGGAGGCGCAGTGCTGAAGTCAAGTTCTGAGGTGCGGAGTGCGCGGAGCGGGCTGGCGGCGGAGGGCGTGGTTGGCGTTTTCAATCGGGAGGGAGTCGCAGACTCTGAGCTCCAGATCCGGGCGAGTCTTTAGGGACCCAGACTCAAACGGGAGAAGCAGGACTGTCTGGCTTCGGTCAGAGCGAGTGCAGCTTTCTCTCTGAGCTTTGCAGCGGGTGCTGGGACTCAGAGAGGCAGAGCCCCTGGGGACAGGACTGAGAGCCGCCATAACTGCTCTCTCTGGCCCACCCTGTTGATCCTGTGCGACCCGCCCTGCCCAAGCCCTGCACACAGGCATTTGCCTGATAGCCTCAGGCAAAGGCTAGATTAGCACCTCCCTAGAGGACAGAAGTTCTCTCACTGCTGACACAGCTGATTCTCATAGCCACTTGGCCTGGAGGTCAAACCCTCCCTGGAATTAGCTACAACAATTAAGATTTAACTATAAGACTGCGAACAAAGACCACTAGGAAGCATAACAAAATGCGGAGACAAAGAAACCGGACAAAATTGTCAATGGAAGATATAGAGTTCAGAACCACACTTTTAAGGTCTCTCAAGAACTGTTTAGAAGCCGCCGATAAACTTAATGAGATCTACAAGAAAACTAATGAGACCCTCGATCTTATATTGGGGAACCAACTAGAAATTAAGCATACACGGACTGAAATAACGAATATTATACAGACTCCCGACAGCAGACCAGAGGAGCGCAAGAATCAAGTCAATGATTTGAAATGCGAGGAAGCAAAAAACACCCAACCGGAAAAGCAAAATGAAAAAAGAATCCAAAAATGCGAGGATAGTATAAGGAGCCTCTGGGACAGCTTCAAGCGTACCAACATCAGAATTATAGGGGTGCCAGAAGATGAGAGAGAGCAAGATATTGAAAACCTATTTGAAGAAATAATGACAGAAAACTTCCCCCACCTGGTGAAAGAAATGGACTTACAGGTCCAAGAAGCGCGGAGAACCCCAAACAAAAGGAATCCAAAGAGGACCACACCAAGACACATCATCATTAAAATGCCAAGAGCAAAAGATAAAGAGAGAATCTTAAAAACAGCAAGAGAAAGAAACTCAGTTACCTACAAGGGAATACCCATACGACTGTCAGCTGATTTCTCAACAGAAACTTTGCAGGCCAGAAGGGAGTGGCAAGAAATATTCAAAGTGATGAATACCAAGAACCTACAACCAAGATTACTTTATCCAGCAAAGCTATCATTCAGAATTGAAGGTCAGATAAAGAGCTTCACAGATAAGGAAAAGCTAAAGGAGTTCATCACCACCAAACCAGCATTATATGAAATGCTGAAAGGTATCCTTTAAGAAGAGGAAGAGGAAGAAAAAGGTAAAGATACAAATTATGAACAACAAATATGCATCTATCAACAAGTGAATCTAAGAATCAAGTGAATAAATAATCTGATGAACAGAATGAACTGTTGATTATAATAGAATCAGGGACATAGAAAGGGAATGGACTGACTATTCCTGGGGGGGGAAGGGGTGTGGGAGATTCGGGAAGAGACTGGACAAAAATCGTACACCTATGGATGAGGACAGTGGGTGGGGAGTGAGGGCGGAGGGTGGGGCGGGAACTGGGAGGAGGGGAGTTATGGGGGGAAAAAAAAAGAGGAACAAATGTAATAATCTGAACAATAAAAATTTAATTAAAAAATAAAAAAAAATAAAAAAATAATAAAAAAATATATATAAGTCTCTGTTTTACTATGGTTGCAAATATCAAAAAATTTCTATATGTGACACGGCACCAGAGTTTAAGTGAGGGTTTTTCAAAATGCTGACACGCCGAGCTCAAAAAGTTCGCCATCACTGGTGTATGTCTTTATAACATTCTGTGTGACTAAATGTGAAGTATATATAAAGCACCTCTGTTGCATACAAAAAAAGTATGATGGCTGTCTTGAGGAAAAGTACTTGCATGACTGTTTTAACTGTAACCTAAACTTGCTTTTTTTCCCCCCTTCAATACCATTTTTATTTGAAAGAGTAATGACAATGGACATTATTTGTTGCCAATGTCTTTCAAAGTTTTACCTGAGAGCTTGATTTTTTTTTTTTTTGAAAATTTGAATTCATCACTGAGAGCAGAGGTCCTCAAACTTTTTAAACTGGGGGCCAGTTCACTGTCCCTCAGACATTCCACACGTGCGCACTGCAGGCCCGGGACGAGTCGGCTGCTAAGGACAGGCAGCGGCGGCAAAAACACCCGGCGGGCCGGATAAATGTTTTCGGCTGCATGTGGCCCGTGGGCCGTAGTTTGAGGACCCCTGACTGAGAGTATGACAACTTCCTAACAGACTTTTCTGATGAAATTGGTGGTAATTTTAAATCTATAATAATAAAAGGATAAAATGCTATTTAGACCAGATGTCCTTCCAGATGAAGCTGGGGCTGCGAGGGAAGCCCGGGTCCTGCGTGCCAGAGGGAAGCTGGTGCCAGCAGCCAGGGGAAGGAAGGTCTACTTTTGCATGGATTTTGTGCATCAGGCCTCTAGTTTTTACATAATGAGCTGGGTAGAGCATGGTACCCATACCCAAGGTTTTGGATTCAATCCCTAGTCAGAGCACAACAAGAATCTACCAATGGGTGCTCGGATAAGTGGAGCAACAAATCAATATTTTTCTCTCTTCTCCTCCCTCTCTCTCTCTTAAATCAATCAATAAATAAAAAATATATTTTTTTAAAATGATCCATTCAAGTACAAGGAAAATCAATGGATTTTAATGTAACGGTATGTAAAATTCCTTGATCTGATAGCAGATTCCACATTATAACTACTTTTAAAGAAATTAACACTTACCAAGTTTTGGTGTAGAATCAAATAAGAATATGCACAATTATTTGAGAAAAAAAAAACAAAAACTATTAAAGTATTCCTCCCTTTTCCAAACGTGTAAGGACACACTTTCATCTACTAACCAAAACTGCATATAACGACAGACTAAATACAGAAGGAAATACGAGAATCTGTCTTCTAGTAGATCAGATATTCGGATTTGTAAAACAATGCTGTTCCTTCACATGATATTTGTTTTGGAAACCATAGTTATTTTTCATAAAAAGAACATGTTAACATGTGGTGAGCTTATTTTTAAATGAGTTATTTTTAAACTTCTGTATCAACTTCTAATTCAGTAAATATCAATAGCTATAACTCACACAAAGCTCTGTGTTGTCCGCAATAATTTTTAAGAGGATAAAGGGATCCTAAGGCCCAACATTTGAGAAACACTGATCTAAGTTATGCAAATTAAAGTAAAATTTCTATAAAAATTGCAAACATAAAATAATTATAATAGTATTAATAATAATATTATCTAATACCCATGCCTATAAAGATATAGAGAAGGTGTCATTCTCATTCACCGCCAAATGGGTAAACTGACAAAATAATTCTGAAGGAAAATTTGGCAGCACCTATCACAAACCTCTTTAAGAATGCAAAAGCTTGGAATCAGCAATTCTGCTCCTAGGAACTTATTTGAAGGAAAAATTAAAGATATGACTAATTGTTTTACTGCAAGGCTATACAGCTACAACAATTTATAATGGATGTTACTTAAATTAGAAAAGGTATTCAGCTGTGACAAATTATGTTGTGTATGAAAAATTACTAATTGGTAATACATTACTAAAATTTTTAAAAATTACAAAACTGTGCATATAGCAGGAACTCAACTTAATGATATTTGGAGCATTTTATTATTTTTGTTTATATATTTTAAGTTTTGTTTGTTTTTTTAATAAACAAAAGTCATACATGGTTTAGTAATAGGAGAAACAACTCCCAGCTACTTAAAAACACACCCTGTCCACTCCATCTGCTTGTGGCAGCCAATGTTAACAGCTCAGCAGTGTATATCCACTCGCACTTGACCTATACTCACACCTAATAGGCAAACATCTATCCATATACTCAAGCAACAGATATATTGATGTCCCTTGTTTATTTATTTTTACAAAAATAAGATACTATACAATGCCTCTTGATTTTTTTCTACTTGTTAATACATATCATGGGCACAGCCAGGTAAAAATATAGATTTCATTCATTCTTTCTATGAGCTGCATAATACTTCAAAAACATAGATGCATCATAATTTACTCAAGGTTTCCTATTGGTTATAAAGATTGTTTGCAGATTTTTAATATGACAAGCAATGCTGTAATAAACGTCTTTGAACACAGATCCCTACATTCTGATTATTGTGATCCATAAGACAGAATCCCTAAAGCGAGTTTGCTGGCTGTACATATACTTTGATTTAGCAAATACTGTAATACTACTTACCAGCAATGTCTGAGATCCCATATCCTCATCAACACTGGGTATAATTTTTGCCAATCTGATGAGAATTCATTATTACTTTAATTTGCATTTCCTGCCTGCTTTGGGGTTTGAGATTTATTTGTTTATTGACCACTTATATTTCTTCTTCCTCTATTCCCATCCTTTCCCCATTTTTCTATTGCTGTCATCTCATGCAAATAATTTTTCCGCCAGTCAGAATCTCAGCTCATACCACATTCAAAAATAAATTCCAAATGAGTTAAAGATTTAAATGATCTAAAATAATCAAACTATTAATATAAAATATAGAATATCTTTATAAACTTGGGATCAAAGAGATTTTCTTAAGCATAAACACTAATTGCTTTGGGAATTTTTTCAAGTTCTCTTTTAAACTGTTGGCAGTTTGGAATAATGCTCTCATTATTCCAAAGTCCTACGATAACACATGTAGAGAACTTCACTGGACACACAGGTACTGAGACCACAGAGGCATGCAATCAAACACAACTGCCTTTTACTATTGCTGCTGCTGCTGCTGCTGCTGCTGCTGCCCCTGCTACTATTACAAGCTATGACTGGGATTCTAAACTCCCAACTCCTTTCTCTGTATCCTGTTCACCAAGTATTACCCTCTCCAGCAGCATATTTCCTTGACGGTGGTCTACCTAAATACAGAATCTTCCACGGGACACTCTATCCAAATGTTCTTCTCCCCCATCACGTATGTGGTAGTTATAAAGATAAAGCCTCATGCAAAAGTGCACATTTTGTTGTCTTACACATATATGATACGGTAAAACAGATAACTCACCCAAATGGGGAAACAGATCAGTGTCCAACTGATGCTTCTGAGTGCACAGTTTCACCAGTCTCTGCAGTCGACTTATACAAGAGAAGTGTGGAGAGAAGGCTGTGGCTTTCATAAGGACCCGGTCAGTCCTGGGCGGGTCCACGACAGGAGCCCTACTGGATGGCAGGAGGGGCAGAGGCCTCTTGTGAGACCACTGCCTCGCTTGTGCTATAGTGTGTGTGGTGGGGGCCACTCCCTGCAGTGGTAGGCTGGTGTTCGGAGGCTGAGGTGACTTGCAGACTAAGCCCTGCGGTGGCGCTGGAGGTTTGACAGGCGCGGGTAAAGGTGACAGGCTGGAGTGCTGCTGCGGAGGCTGCTGCTGGGAAGGTGCAGGAGGGGGACTAAAGTGCTCTTGCCGAACTTTTAAAATCTCTGTCTCTCTCTGGCGCTGACGATTCTGGGCCAACTTGCTCTGCAACTTCTTTCTCACAGTTGCCCCTTTCTTTAGGTCATCATCTTCCTCGTTGAAAGCGAACGGGTCTTCCAACTCGGTTTCCAGGTAGTGGAGAGGGACCCTTGCCCCCGGTGGAGAGAGGGACATGCCGTCCAGTCCGTTGGGCATCTTCAAGGCCAACGTGGGCACCGCCAGGCTAAAGGCCATGGTATCCATCTGGTGCCTGCCCTTTACCTCATCTATAGGATCATTCTTTTTCTTCCTCTCTTTTTTCGGGATAAAGCCAAGTACCTGCAAGTGGCTGTTGCAGTACCTTTAAAAACAGAAACATACATGGGAAAATGTTCATGATATATATTAAGAAAAGCAAAATATAAAACTACATTTTATAAAATATGAATCCTAATATGTTAAAAATGCATGATTAGAGTAACTCTTGACATTGATGAATTTCATACATGCCACTTCCACTCCTCTGAAGCAATCCTCAAAGTCTGGCAATTTTGCTGAAGCAAATATGTGACTGTACACATGCAGAGGCCGCCAGACAGAAGTCACTCAAATACTGAGTGGCCCAGCTATTGCTTCTCAGACCGCTTTGTTATCCTTTATTCATAGCAAACAGAGTAACTCGTAAGAGTCACTTAAAATTCTCTTACGGAGAAAAAAATATGTGTTCTAAAGCCATTCAAGTATTTAGAAATTCATAAAGATCTTATGGGCCCCAGCCCATAAGTTGGTTAGAGAGTCCTCCTGATACTCCAAGGTTTCGGGTTTGATTCCTGGTCAGGGCACATACATGAATCAGCCAGTGAAAGCATAAGTAAGTGGAACAACAAATTTCTCTCTCTCTCAAATAAATGAATCAATTTTTTCAACAAATTTCTGTCTCTCAAATTAACAAATCAATTTTTTAAAAAAGATCTTATGATGTAATCCTTAAGAATGTCAAGTAGCCACTATATGTTCTACACACACAGAGAACAGATTCATAAAGCTGGCCAACAAGAGGAAGGGCTTCAGGGATAACTGTAGTAACTGTAGACACTTCCCAATCTCTCTATATAAAAGCCTAATATGCAAATTGTCTCCTCAGGAGTTCACGCTTCCCAATCTCTCTATATAAAAGCACAATATGCAAATTGTCTCCTCAGGAGTTCGACCGAGAGACTGTGAGTTCACTCGCTCACTACGACATGCACTGACCACCAGGTGATGGTGTGGAACGAAGGAAGGCCCCAATCAGCCCTGATCACCAGCCAGGCCTAGGGACCTTACCTGTGCATGAATTTCATGCACTAGGCCTCTAGTATAGAATAAAGGTTTTGTTGTTTTCAACTCACTTTCAAATTGACAAATGGATTAGTTTTTTTAGCGAAGAAAAATAGATGGGTTGTTTTTTTAATTTACAAATCAGACTTTCCTGGTCATTGACATGTGGGCAGCCTGAACTGGTAAATGAGGCCACTATGTGCTTCATCATGTAACACAGCAGAGGCTGATGCATGAATAGTACTCCCTCAGCCTCGCTCTGCACGCACTGCAGCCACACTGGCGGCACTATCACAACAGTCAGAACTCCTAAACCTCCACCTCTTCACACCTCGAACAGCTTACTAGCATTTAAAATAAGTGTGCAAACGTGAATTTCTAGTCTAAAAGAATTAGTAACTGCTAATGGGGTTCTGGGGGGAAGAAAATGTAAAATTAGACTGTGGTGACCACAGTTGCACAACCCAGTGAATATACTAAAAAATACTGAGTTATATACTTTAAATGGGTAAACATATGGGATGTGAATTTTATCTTAAACTGTTTTAGAAAATAAACATATAGATGACGAGTTTTCCTGGCTAATATATACATACTAGTAAAATAGATATATATATATATATACACACACACACACACACACATCTATATATATATATATATAAATTATAGCAAAGTTAAATTTAAAATATTATATAAAATAACCAACTTAATATAACCATGATCTCTGAAAAAAAGGGTACAATAATGAGCCCTAGCTTAGAAAATGATTTTTACCTTTTAATTATACCATTACTTCTACTGAGCATATAACACTATTCTATTTCAAAGAGCTGGAACTCATAAGTTAGCATTTATAATGCACACCAGATAAGCTAGCACTGATATCAAGAAGCTTCCTCTAGCTGACCACCAACCAGATAATTTTGTCCATTAAAAATCCTTGAGCCCGGCTGGATTGGTTCAGTGGATAGAGCATCAGCCTGCTGACTGAAAGGTTCGGCGTTCGATTCCGGTCAAGGGCACATACCTCGACTGCAGGCTCAATCCCCAGCCCCTGCTGGGGTATGTGTGGGAGGCAACTAATAGATATGTCTCTCTCACATCGATATTTCTGTCTCTCCTCCCTTCCACTCTCTCTAAAAATATCAATGGGAAAAAAATCCTTAAATTTTTTTCTTCTCTAAAACAATATATAAACCATCTCAAATACCTAGGTGTCCAAGTAGTAATTGCATCAATAATAATGAAAGTACATTTTCAAAATATTAATCTTTTCTTAAAAAAAAAAAATATTAATCTTTTCTACAGTAGTATAGTTACAACTATCAATATTTATACACCGGTCAAGATATTATTACATAAATTCAGCTTGGAATTCTTGAGGTAACATAAGAATATTACCTGTGTTAAAGTCTACTTTAATTCTATTTTCAAACAACCCTACAAACAAAAATACCAATACCCAAAAAATTATAGCCCTGACCAGTTTTTCTCAGTGGTTAGAGCATTGGCCTATGGATTGAAGGGTCATTGGTTTGATTCCCGGTCAAGGGCACGTACCTGGGTTGCAGATTCGATTCCTGGCCCTAGTGGAGGCAAGTACAAGTGCGGGAGGTAACCAATCAATGTGTCTCTCTCCCTTTCTCCACTTCCCTCCACTCTCTCTAAAAAAAAATCAATGGAAAAAATATCCTTGGGTAAATATATATATATATATATATATATATGTATATATATATATATATATATTCATATGTTCTTGGACCAACTTTGAAAAAAGAAGTAGCTTCTCTTGACAGAGCAACACAAAAATCCTTTCCCTTATCTTGTTCTAAAAAGAGGAAATTTCTTAGTATATAAAGGTGAAGGCATATGCTTCACAGAATACTTTGGACAAATTCGAAGTGACTCACTTTACTACTTGCTGTAAGCTATAACACTTGCTTCAGCTGAATTTTTAAAAAAATCCAAGGTTAACAATCACAACTGTGAAAAATGGAATTTAAGACAAAATTATAGAAATGTATTTATAATGGAGCTCGAAGTAAAAAATTAATCCAAGTTCTTGCATTCTTTAAGTTTAAAAGGGGCAGGGGTAAGAAATTATCATTTTTAGTCTGCTAAAACCAAATGGACAGATATGTTTACCCTAATACAGTGGTCCCTTTCTCACCTGAGATTAAAATTTTATTCCTTGCCTCACTAAGCAGCTGTTTCTAACTTTCGGGTATTGTAATTTGACGCCTTAAGTGCTCATTAGAAATTCTAACAGAGTATTCCCAAATCACCACATTATACTATACTCATTTTGGTGGGATCTCTATCAACACAAATTATTTATTTCACCCTAAAAGGGTAAAAATTGCTCACTCTGAATATAAAATACATATTCCTTTTCAACCCTTTTATGCAGGTGACATCTGCTTATGTATGGAACAAGGATGAACTTTTTACCTCTAAAAGAAAAGTAAAAAGTTCAAAGTTTCTACCTAAAGATAACAAATATTTGAAACTTTCTTATAAAATAAGCATGCACCCCTCATTGTAATAACCTACAATGATCAACACTGTTTCTGTAGAACTGAAGAAAAAGAGATCATATGTGAAATCTAGTGTGAATTTTCCTAAAAATATGAAAGATGAATAACCAGCATAAGACTTCTTTAAAACACCTTCCTGTATTATTATTTTTAATTCAGCAAAGCATAAATTCATAATTCTAGTGATAACAGCCACTCATACTACGAAAATACAGTTTCTAATTTATAGTAAACATACTCTATATGGAATTCTTTTTAACCAAAAAGAAGTCTGATAAAAAGTACATCTGAGTGATTCAAGTAATCATTCTTTTGAATAACTCTTTTTCAATAAATACTTACCCTTTTCTACCTTTCAAGCACAGATTTTAAAGTTCCAAAATTACTATCATTACTTACAACACCTAAGTAGTTCCTATAATTTTTCTCATTTAGGCAGATGACAAGTCAGAAACACTTTATAAGGCTGCAAACTAAATACATCAGTACTAAGACTTTAAGCAACAGTTTCATAATCCTAGCAAGTCTATTAAATCCATATAAAAAGAAAATACTGAAACATACTTTTCAAATGATTCCCCAAATTTACTATTCCCTTTTTTTAAATTACCAATCTCTCATCTTTAGAAGCATTTTAAAGTTTAGTTAGAATACTCCAGGAAAGCATCCTTTACATTCACTGTATCAAAAGAAAAAAGGAGAAGAAAAAGAAAAATCCCAGCCTAACTAAATCAAAGGTTGAGTCCCATTACCAGATCTTACCTACGATCCTCTGATTTGGGGATGGGGTTGGTGCAGCGTTGGCTGTTATACTTGGCCACATATTCACATTGCTTGAAGGGAGCAGTCTTGTCCTCCAGAACGTGTCTGATACAGAAAGCGTAGCCGTTGAGTCGCCGCTGCTTGCACAGTTTGGGGCTATATGAGCACAAGGGCTTATTGTCAACCTCAGAGAAGTGTATATGTTTCCCTTCATACATCACGTGACTCTATTCCTTGTGAACATCAGCTAAAAGACCACCACAAAAAAAGAAACCCAAATGATAAATCAGAGAGTGTAAGGCAGATTTAAGTTGAGAATTTCATTGAGCGACTTCTGGCCCCATAGCCATACCTGATTTTAAATCTTCTGCACCATAGCAATGTTAAGAGAACCCAAAGGATACCACACTTTGGAATGCTGCAGAATCAAGATGAAGCAGATTGTCTATAAAAATATCAAAAGGCCTAGTTAACAAAAGTGGAATAAGCGAAGTTTGCTCACCTCAGAAGTAAAATACTATATCACCCTTCTAATGGGATGGATTCTTCATTGTAATCCAACGTCCCAATACTGAATTAAAGTAATAAGAGGCATAAAATATTAAGTTACCTTACCCCTCCAAACTGAACTAAATAACTTCTCCTCTGGTTAAGTTTTGGAAATACCTCAAAACAGGTAGGGGTTTTCCACCAAACAAATGCCATAAGGTCTTTTCATCTCATTACTGCTGCTTACAGGCTATACCTATTTTCAGAACCCGAATCTCTTTACAATGCCGATGGACCACAAACTTCCCTCAGAAAGTCTACATTTTTGGATAGGTTGACAAGTGTTTGGCAATTTGTAACAAATGTTTTTATGAAATTTAAAAAAGAGCAAATTCCTGTTTTTAAAAAAGTAATTTTCCCTCTAATCTTCCCCCTCATTTAGCCCATCTAAACTATAAACTTCTTGAGCCCAAAGACTAGTCACCCAACCACACTTCCGCCACTCAGTTCAGTTCTTGGTACTACATGGCACTCCCAATTAAAATAAATAGAATAATAATCATGGTTTATGAGTCTTTGGAGGTTTAGTAAGAAATGGAAGAAAGGACACAATACTCATACCTCTCTAAACACAAAGTTCCAGCAGTAGAATTTATATATTACTAGAGGCCTGGTGCATGAAATTCGTGCACTGGGGGTTGGGGGTCCCTTAGCCCAGCCTGTTCCCTCTCGCAGTTGGGGAGCCCTCAGGGTATGTCCGACTGATGACCCCTGGGGAGTGGGCCTAAGCCGTCAGTCGAACATCCTTAGTGCTGCTGTGGAGGTGGGAGAGGCTCCCACCACCACCACTGCACTCGCCAGCTGTGAGCCTGGCTTCTGGCTGAGCGGCACTCCCCTTGTGGGAGCGCACTGACCACCAGGGGGCAGCTCCTGCATTGAGCGTCTGCCCCCTGGTGGTCAGTGCATGTCATAGCGACCGGTCGTTCTGTGGTTCGATTTGCATATTAGCCTTTTATTATATAGGATAAGACCACATAGTCTACAATGAAATTGAATCAACTAATCTGTCAAGTATGATTGCAGTGGGCTGATGTGGTCTAACACCCTTCCTCTACACTCTGAAAGTCACCCACATAGCTGATAGAGCAGCTTAGATACCAGCTACAGAAAGCCTCAAAAAATACTCTCTCCTTTACTAAACTCAATATGAAATTCCTTATACGAGTGAATGGCAAGACACACAAATGCTTCAGGAGTCGGAAGATATATTTGCTCAAGTTCAGAATCTGGACTTACTTTGTTATCCTGAACAAGTCATTTAACCTCAGTTTTCTCATCTGTAAAATAGGGATAATAACAGTAGCTATGTTATCATCAAGCTGCTCCAAGGATCAAATGATAGAGCATGCAACACACCAAGTACTGTGCCTCATACATGTTAAACAATGAACAAATGAAAATTACAGATTTTGAGAGAGAAGGGAGAGAGAAAAAGATCAAGAGCAAAACATAATCAGCTGCCTCCCCCACACCCCCTATCAGGGATCTAGCCCACAACCTGAGCATGTGCCCCAACTGGGTACTGAACCGGCAACCTTACGGTGTACTGCATGACACTCAACCAACTGAACCACACCGCCAAGGTAATAATGTTGACTTTTAACATGATTTCCTATTATGTAAAGAAAGTTATCAATTAATTCCTATTTTAGTAAGTTGTCCTATTTTTTAAAAAACCTCATAATGATTAATGTTACCAAATTCTTTTTCAGCTTCTGGGAAAGATGATCATTTTTCTCTTTCATACTTTAAAAAATATGGTGTTTATTATTTTCTGACACTGAACTCTTCTTACAGTCCTGGGATGAAAGCAACTTGGTCATTATGTATTATTATCTTAATGTGTTGTTGAATTATACTTGCTAATATTTAAGATTTCTGTAGTAGGAGAAAGGTCTAAATTTTCTGTTTGTGTGCTTTGCCAGAATTTGGTATCAATAAATATTTCAAAAAATAATTTAGAAAATCTTTCTCTTTTTCTATGTTCTTGAGCAAGTTAAAAAGCACTGCAGTTATGATGTTCCTTAGAACTGCTGGGCTTAGTACTGCTTTTTCATAGTGAATCAGGTTTTCACATTTATTCCCATACTTTTTAGCAATATGACCTCTTACATTTAATTTCCTAAATATATATGATTTTTTCTCATATTCAGTGTATTCATTAACTTGCATATGTGATATTTGTGATTTCTCCCTTTGTTCATGACAGGTTCAATAGGAGGCTGTTTCATGTTTTTTGGTTTTTTTCCCCAGTATCCTCTAAAATAAAAACACAAAGAATACAAATCTCTTGGAGTTATTAGTATCTCCATGTATGTTTTCTAATTCATCAATTGCTACTTTTATCTTTGATAATACGTTCTCTTATTGATTTTTAGAAAGAGAGAAAGGGAGGAGGGAGAGAAAAACATCGATGTTTGAGCAAACTATCGATCAGCTGCCTCCTGCACACCCCCTACCAGGGGTAAAGCTGAAACCTGGGCATGGAATCAATCTGGCAACCTTCTGGTGCGTGGGATGACACCCAACCAAGCCACAATGGCCAGAGCTGATAAACTTTCTGTTTGCTTTTCATTTATTATTTTTTGGTAACTTCTTTGGGCTGAATTATTCTATTTTCATTTTTTCTTGCTTAGTAATTTATGAATCTTCCAGAGTACTGCTTTAGCCATGTCCCAAAGGTACTATTACACAGAATTTTGAATATCAGCAGTTTTTAGTTGATTTGGATTTGATATTTTAATTTCTCCTTTGACCCAAGAGTTATTTAGTTTTAGACGGTAGAGTTTTATGTTTTCCTTGTTTCAGTTGTAGTTAAGAATAAGGAACATACCTGCATATATTTGGGGGTTTTTTTGTTTGACTGAGGTTGTCTTTGGGGCCTCATAAGGATTCTTGAAGAAGCACATTCATTGTACCTAGGGTATGTTGTCTGTTATACCATATATCATGGTATTAACATCCACTATATTATTACACATTTTGTCTGGTTGCTCTATCAAGAGCTCAAAGAGATCAGTCAAAACCCCCTACTATGAACTGATTTGTCTGTTTCTCTGTATATTCTTTGTTTTATAAATTTTAAAGCTGTATTATCCTACCTAATAAAAGAGAAACATGGTAATTAGCGTACGACCGCTACCCTTCCCATTGGCTAATCAGGGCGATATGCAAATTAACTGCCAGCCAAGATGGCGGCCGGCAGCCAGGCAGCTGGAAGCTAACATGAGGCTTGCTTGCTTCAGTGACGGAGGAAACCAACGTTCCCCGCCTGCCACTGCCGGCCTCTGAGCTGCAACTCTAAGCAACTATGTTACAAATATAGAAGTTAAACAAACCCCCAGAAACCTGCTTTAGTCACTGGGCTTCAGCCAGCAGGATCGCAACATTGTTTCAAATACAGAAGGTAAACAAAGGCCAGAAACCTGCTTTCAGCAGAGAGGCCTAAGAGCTGGAGCCTCAGAGCTAAAGCTGGCCCAGAATAAAAAAAGAAAAGAAAAAAAGGAGCGGTTGGGAGCTTCAGTCACCCCCAGCCTGAAAACAGCCCTCAGCCCCTCACCCAGACTGGCCAGGCACCCCATTGGGGACCCCCACCCTGAAGGGTGTGTGACCAGCTGCAAACAGCCATCATCCCCTCACCCAGGCTGGCCAGGCACCCCAGGGGGGACCCCCTCCCTGATCCAGGACACCCTTCAGGGCAAACCAGCCGGCCCCCACCCGTGCACCAGGCCTCTATTCTATATAGTAAAAGGGTAATATGCCTCCCAGCACTGGGATCAGCGGAGCCGCGAGGCCTCCTGGCACCGGGATCAGCGTGACAGGGGGCAGCGCCCAAACCCCCTGATCGCCCTGCGGCTCTGTGTGTGACAGGCTGTGGTGCCCCAACCCCCTGATCGGCCCTGCTCTGTGACAGGGTGCAGCACCCCAACCCCCCCCCCCCCCACGGGCCCTGCTCTGTGTGTGACGGGGTAGAGCCATAACCTCCCCATCAGCCCTGCCCTGAGAGTGAGAGTGGCGGCGCCCCAAACCCCTAATCGGCCCTGCTCTGTGGGTGATAGAGGGCGACGCCCCAACCACACCCCACGGGCCCTGCTCTGTGTGTGACGGGGTAGAGCCATAACCTCCCCATCGGCCCTGCTCTGTGACAGGGTGCGGCACCCCAACCCCCTGATGGGCCCTGCTCTGTGTGTGACAGGGGGCGGTGCCCCAACTCCCCTATTGGCCCTGCTCTGTGAGTGACAGGGGGCAGCAACCCAACCCCCTGATTGGCCCTGCTCTGTGCGTGACAGGGGGCAGTGCCCTAACCCCCTGATTGGCCCTGCTCTGTGCATGACAGGGTACAGAGCCCCAACCCCCCTGATGGGCCCTGCTCTGTGCGTGACAGGGGGTGGCGCCGCAACCTCCCCATTGACCCTGCCTTGAGTGTGACGGGGTGGTGCCCCAACCCCCCAATCGGCCCTACCCTGAGCGTGACTGAGGGTGGCATCGAAACCTCCCGATCCACCCTGCTCTGTGCATGACAGGGGACGGTGCTCCAACTCCCCAATCGGCCCTGCTCTGAGCCCGACCAGGGGCTGCACGTAGGGACTGGGCCTGCCCTCTGCCACCCGGGAGCAGGCCTAAGCCAGCAGGTCGTTATCTCCCAAGGGGTCGCAGACTGCGAGAGGGCACAGGCCAGGCTGAAGGGACCCCCTCTTCCCCCCAAGTGCACAAATTTTTGTGCACCGGGCCTCTAGTTTGATATATAAAATTCATAACCACTAGATTATCATTCTTTATCATTAGGAAATGCAACTCAAGTGATGAATTTTGTCTTAAATTCAACCTTGTCTGACAAAAATATTTGAACTCTCATTTTTGTTGTTGTTTCAATTTGCCAGTTAAGTATTTACCCATCCTTCTACTCTAAAGTTTGGTGAGGCACTGTTTTTAAATCATGGGTCAGAAAACTCTGGCTTACAGGACAAATCTGGCCCAATGACTATTTTTTTAAATATAGTTTTACTGGAACACTATCCTGTTAATTCATTTACATGTTGTCTATAGCTGCTTTCATGCTATAACAGTAGAACTGAACAGTTGCAACAGAGATTGTATGACTGAAAAGCCTAAACTATGTACTAAAATATTATCTGCTGGTCCCATTTAGATGACATCTCTTAATTGGTTTGACTTTTTTGCTCTAATATGAGTGTCATTTTCTTTTAATAAATGGGTTTATCCAATTTATAATTTTATATTTATTTATTTGGAAAATATTTCATCTTAATTTTATTATTTTACTAGAGGCCCAGTGCACGAAATTGTGCACAGGTAAGGTCCGTAGGCCTGGCCAGTGATCAGGGCCAATCGGGGCCTTCCTTCATTCCACGCTGCCCCCTGGTGGTCAGCACACATCACAGCGAGCGGTCAAACTCCCAGTTGGTCAAACTCCCGAGGGGACAATTTGCATATTAGCCTTTTATCATGCAAGGATTTTTTGCATTGCTTTTAGCTCTTGATTCTTTTTATTACATGTTTCATTATATAGCCTATTTTCTTGGAAGATTTAGTCTTTGTCCTTAAGATAACATTTTTTTTACTGCAGACTAAGAAAATTAGTCTACTTAGCATTATCATGATTGACCTCATGTTATGAGAAAAATTTCCTAAACCACACATCCCAAAGCAGTATTTTTTCCTTGTATTATGATTTCTACATTGCCATAGTTTATAACTTTTTTTCTTTTTTTCAATATATCCTTTATTGATTTCAGAGAGGAAGGAAGAGGGAGAGATAGAAAGAAACCTCAATGATGAGAGAGAATCATTGATCAGCTGCCTCCTGCACACCCCAACTGGGGATCGAGCTTGAAAGCCAAACCCACAACCTGGGCATGTGCCCTGACCAGGAATCAAACCATGACCTCCTGGTTCATAGGTTCATGCTCAACCACTGAGCAACACCAGCCAGGAAGTTTATAACATTTTAATGTTGGTTCTACATTTAAATTTATTCCATGCTACTCACTAATCCATTTAATTTTTAATTCATCTCTGATTCAATGGTTTAAACATAGTCAACTCTCTTCTCTATCTCCCCTTCCCCTCCACCCCCACCCCCACCCAAAGCTGATTTATGGAATCTCAGCCATGGTTTTTCTGTCTGGAAATATACGTCAATTAAACAATATACTTAAACTATAGCTTACCTGGACATAAAATTCTGGGGTCAGATACTTTTTTGTCTACGAAATTTGTATATTTTTTTCCATATCTTCTAGAATGAAAATGCCTAAGGCCAGCCTCTTTATTTTATACAGGGCTTGATTCCCTCCCCCCACCCCCCCACCCCCCATTTTGACCTAATAATGTCTTTATATTTAAGGACTAGAAACTACTTTAGAGGCCAGCCAGCATGGCTCAGGGGTTGAGTGTTGACCTATGAACCAGAAGGTCACAGTTCAATTCCAGTCAGGGCACATGCCTGGGGTGGGGACTTGATCTCCAATAGGGGGCGTGCAGGAGGCAGCCAATCAATGATTCTCTCTCATCATTGATGTTTCTAGCTCTCTCTCCCTTTCCCTTCCTCTAAATTAAATGAAAACATATTTTAAAATGTATTTTTAAAACAAAAATATATATAAGAATGTATTAAAATCTGCCAAGTCAATGTCCTTCTAATGCTAAGAATTCAGTAATCTATCCAATTGCCCCTTTTCAGCATTTGCCACTAGGTGGGAAGGAAGCTCCGCTAATCATCCCCATGCCATTACAAAAAGGTGTTTAATTTCACCTCTTATAAACAACTCCTCTGCCATCTTAATATTTTTACATCTGTGATTAATTTTTCTTCCTATGTGTTTCATTTTTAATGTTTTTAATTTCTTTTAATTTTTTCTCTGATTTTTAATGTTTTAAAGTCCTACTAAAAGCCAACTTTATATCATTCTTTGCATCTTACTTTTGAACAATCATCTGGTTTCTCTATTTTCAAATCCCTCTTTTAAAAGCTCAACTTAATCTTTATACTTAAACTTTCAATTCCCTCATGAACTCACTCACTTTAAATACCATAAAACGAAAGAATGTTTGGGGAAAATGGCCCTCTGCTTGGAAATCTAACTTTTCTAAGTGAGTATTATTTAATATCAAAATCACTTTGTCTATAAACTGGAAACAACTATTCCTCTAATAGGTTTTTCCTTTTTTAATTAAAGAAGACATTATGACAAAATCAGTAAGGCAGCTCTCAGGAAAAAGACCCTACATTTTTTTCATTCTTTATATCCAGCTTCCCACAACTCAAGTTCTTTACCATTACTCCACCAAAGGTGAAGTTCACATGGCCTTCACTCTTTGACACACCTTGTAAAATATAAAGAGAGGAGAAACATTATAAATGATCTTAATCAAATGTCTTATAGACCCTAATATTTAAATACTACCATATCTCTAATCCATAAAGAAATGCTATAGCTAAGCTCTACCTTTTAACACATGCTAACTATCTTAAAAGAGGAGGGAAAAATATCCTAACCAGACAACTATAAGTAGATATTTTCTCCAACCATGGAAATAATTTGCTTAGAATATAACAGATTTATGCTCCCTTAAGGAGAAGAATGCAGATAATTAAGCACTTTAGAGTGGCAGCAGAATAGAAACCCTTATTAAATTATTATCAAAAGCAAAAACAACTATATTGAGAATAGTCTCACAGAAAGAATACCTCCATGTTAAACATACCCTAATGTTTAACTGGTGCGTGTACATTTGCATATGAGAATGGAAATGTTACCAAAATTCAAGAGTAGAAAATATGGTTAGGTGTTAAATATTAAAAACAAACAAACAAACAAAAAAACCCACAATCCTCCTTGATATTATATGCTGAGTTTAACTGGAAAATGAAACAATTCATTTCTATAATTTCTTTCATCTTGCAAATACAGAGACATTAGCAGGGGACAAAAGTAAGAAATGTAAGCTTATAACAAAAGCACCTATAGCCCTTTCAGTCTTCCAACAGCAACCATAAACCAATTTGACAAAAAATATGAACATTACTCTCTTTGGGACTGCTGCTGCACCACCTCCATGTGGGATCTCTATACGTCATGACTGTTCTTTTGAGTCTCAGGTTTCAGAAGCATGTTCATTTCACCGCCACAGCAT